TAAATCGAAGATGGATTAGCTGGTTGGAATTTAAAAGTAGGAAAATTTCATAATTGAATCGTTATTCTAGTTTTTTTTTGACATCTGTTTGACATTACTAAGATAGGTTTAGTTGAAGAAAAAGCAACCTAGCACTTAGTTCGGTTAAGAGAAAGTTCATTCATTCAACTCTTGTGAAGAGTTTAACAAAAAAACCACATATGTATTGCTGATAACTTCTTTTCTAAACCGATGGCTAATAACGTCTCACGGTTGCATGATCTCACCCGTTTGTCTACACAGTAGTCAGTGCCTCCACTCGGGCAGGATTAGACATTAACATCATTGGATGCTGCCAGCTCAGTGGCACAGAAGTTAATTATTCGCGCGCAAGACCGTAGGTCCCGGGTTCGATTTCTAGTCACTGCGTTGTATCACCTCTAGGATATCTAAGTTAGGGAGTTGCGGTAGTTGCCTATGGTCTCATAAAACTATTTTCATAATACCATGAAAGCTTTATGATCAATTCTATGAGATATGCGAAAAATTTATTCATGATTTAAATGATCCTGATGGAGTTGTGAATCAAAAATAGTAGAAAATGGCAAAATATTGCTCTCTCTTACTGTATTATTGAGTACTTTCAGTGAAGGAAATTTTACTGGAAACATCACGTTTTTTTAATAAATCATCTGTGATAGTAAATAGATTTGGACATGAACTCATGGTAGCGATTGAATAATTGCTTGAATTCATTGTTATTGAAATGTTGGTTATTGCATAAATGAGATCGCATGAGATGAATTTCGCAATAACAAAATTGCAGTGTAGGAGTAAGTTGGAAGAGAGATAGGAGTGGCCAAACCAAAACATTGCACAAATCCATGAAGTCACTGACAAGTGGACTAAGTCATGTTGATAGGAGTAGACTACGTGGTTATCGTCTGCGAGACGATAATAACTGATGGTTAGAGACCTTGAATGACATGCAGCAGTACAGGTGCATTCATTCTTTATGTTCTCTCAAATTCCAATCTTCTGAATTCCCCAAGACTTTTCTAAAAGTTATTTCACTGATTTATGCTTCTTGAATCATATCTTCGAACTCTAATCTTCTTCATTACTGCTAATACTTCTATTAACTCTACTACTATGGGATTCTAGTTGACAACTGCATCTCTGTGTGCTGATGTGGTATGTCAACTTGAACTGATGTACGTACGTATGAAGTTCTGCATTGTAATTGACTGACTAAATGACTGACTGACATATGAAACCTGTAGTTCCAGTGTCTACATTTACGTGATTGTTAAAGGTTTAGAAAGACAACTTTTTTAAGTTTTATTTCCCGGACTGATTTTTACATTCCAAGTTTTTCTTTTAAATTTAAAATTATCCGAATAGAACAATGAAAGTAGGTAATTGATCTGAACAATGTTGTGATGTATTGGCGCTATACAATTTGGAACAATCTGGTCATGCATTTACTACATGTCAAGTGTATCTATGACCAGAGTGATCGGAATATTGAAAAGCGCAAGTACATCACAACATTTTGCAAAGCAGTTACGTCTTCTCACTGTTCTATCGAAATTCCATAGAAGGGACTCATTGTTTTAACCGTTTTTATTTACTCTTCAACACTGGTAACTTGTTAGGTTTTCGGTAGAAACTGTTCCAAATGATGGTCTCTTGTCAATTTTTTAACAGCAGAAAAATGATAAGAATATTTTTTCTCAGTGTCATGTAAGCTATATCATTAGTAATTAATTGCCTGTATTATTAAGATAACTTGAAATAAGCTCAGTGCTCCAGAGAGAAGTTAGGCGTTCTCGCACGCAAGACCCAAGGTCCTGGGTTCGATGTCTGTGTGAGTAGTAGGAGTCATGGATCCGCGCGGCTGATGAGTCAGTCCTATACTATAAGACGAAACAGCCGTCTTACAGTGCTTCCAGGTTCCTTATATTGGTCTGACAATGATTGTTTGATGATTTTAATGTGTATAATCTTAAATCTTTCAATTATTTCAGAGTTGACTTCGTATCTTCTACCTCTCTCTATAAATAAGGTTGAAATAAATAATAATACATTTAATGATTATGTGAAGATACCATCATAGGATTGTGGAAATTGTTGAGTTGCTTACTTATTGAAATCATAAATCCACCATATTGTTCAGCCACCATTCGAAACTTGGAATCATTGAAAGACAGCCGTTTCGTCTTATAGCATAGGACTGACTCATCAACAATGTACATCCACGACTCTTGTGAGGATGAAAACCTTTGAATTCGCATTAACTATATTCGTAGTTTTCAATTAGAGTTATGGAGATTAGTTTTCTTACACATCTGAAATCATCAATCAATGATTGTTAGACCAACATTAGAAACCTGGAAGCACTAGACGGCCGTTTCGTCCCGGTATGGGACTCATTAGCAGTGCACATCCACGACTCCTGCATCTCACGAGATTCGAAATCGGGGCTTTCGGTCTTGTGCGCGAACACCTAACCATCGGACCACTGGGCCGGCCGGCATTCAACAGTGTTAATGTCTAACTCTGATTGATCTAGGGATTTTGCGCAACCTCATCCATTTGTATTCGGTAGTTAATGCCTACATCCGACAGGGTTGGACTCCACTGGTCCACTCCCAGTGGTCCAATGGTTAGGCGTTCGCACATAAGACTGAAGGCCCCGAGTTCGAATCCTGCGAGATGCAGGAGTCGTGGATGCGCACTGCCACTGATGAGTCCCATACCAGGACGAAACGGCCGTCTTTCAGTGCTTCCAAGTTTCTAACTGTGGTCCAGCAATGATTGATTGATGATTTCCCATCTGTATATTCATAGTGTATTATTAAATATTAGGAAAAAATAGATATAAATTTTTATATATTTAAACAAGGCGAAAGAATGTGATTAAGATCAAGTTTGACATGCTAAAATCTTTATAAACAGATTTTTAAAAAAATATAGCGTGTATGCATTTTGCTTAGATTATCTTGTCATTTCATGTTTGATCATTTACAGATACACAAATAGCAGATTCACAAAACGAAAGAGGTAGTGGGGTGTGTGCGTGTGCGTGGATATCTAGCAAAGTGTACTGAGAATGATTATTTAAGCTTTGTTTTTGACATTTTAACTCATAGTTATGTCATACTTATCAAACTTGATCATCTTACTGACATTGTGAATAATAATAATAATAATAATAATAATAATAACTGGCTGAATAGTCAGTAAGTAGTATAAAAAAAACAACATTATTTTCTGATGCTTCTGTATATTCTCGTTTCATCAGTACAATGATTGCATCAGAGGGTTTGCGGGGGGGGATGGATATACATTATTATTCGCATAAAAGCGTTTCTGTAGTTAAAGTATACTTGTTGGTTTGTTTTCTTTGATTGAACGTGCATTTTCGCTCGCTCGCTCGCTCTCACTGATGCAGTAGTTGACAGTAGTGGTAAAACTGTAAGAGTGTTACCAAAACAAGTTCATCAAAGTATCCATTTTTTTCCACTGACACACAGACACACACACACACCTACCTGAGCTATTCCTCATTTTCCATGCATTATATCCAATTTATCGCGTTAAACTTAACATTTATTGATTCTGAAGGATGACCGCCTACATTGTTATTGTTCCTCATCTTTTTATACTCTAAATGATGTTATGTATGGTCTAGTATGTGATAGGTGTGATAGGTTGGGTTGACCTATATTTATTTATGTATTCAACTGTTTTACACTTCTTCAGATGATGATGATGACGATGCCATAAGAAATTTTTGACAAGTAGTACTTCTTTCATAATTTTCAAAGATTATATCTATTTCATAAAAATACGAATTTCAAGCATGAATACATACATACATACATATACATGTCTGTATGTATCTATGTATTATGATGTCATAAGTAGTTTGATAAGTAATATTCGACATGATGACCTTATCACACTGGTTGTATTAGTAGTACTAGTAGTAGTAGTGATGTAAGTTGTAATCCTACGAAAATGCCATAAACTCGGATTACTTTATACGTTCAATTATAATATGACCATGTGTAATGCACGTCAGTATGATTAAGATACTTAATGTGTGTATGAATATTCCATTCATGATTGAACGGAATTACTCTTTCCCTATCTCTCTCTCTTTCGTTTTTCTTACCCGATTACACGATTACATTTTCATTGCATTTTACATAACATCACACACGCACACACGCACACACACACTCACTTTAGGGCGGGGGGAGGGGGGAGCGAGGACGGAGAAGGAGAAGGAGAAGTAGAAGATGGAATCATTGTTAGGGGGTGTCACTTAGTAAAACATGTCAAACCGTGATATAAATAAAAAACGAATGGTATCTAGTTGAGTGAATGTGTATCTTGAAATGAAAAAAAAGAAAGTTACTGTTAACTTGTCAAACTTGTCAGAATGATAAAATGCAACATATTCTTCTTATATTTTTGATACGGTTAGTTTTGTCTAAAATTCTAATGACAATAACTTATGATTTTATTTAAAAGATAATATTTACTTTTTATTACAAGCAATCTATTACTATTATGCATATTTTATACATTGGAAACCTAGAAGCACTCACTGTAAGACAGCTGTTTCATCCATCCTATAGCATAGAACGGACTCATCAGCGGTGCACAATCACAACTGCTACTACTCTTGCAGGCATCGAACGTGGGGCCTACGGTCTTACGCGTGAATGATTAACCTCTGCACCATCGAGCCCGCAGCATCCAATGGTGTTAATGTCTAATCCTACCCGAGTGTAGGCACTGACTACTGTGTAGACAAACGGGTGAGGTCATGCAACCCTGAGAAGTTATCAGCCATCTGTTCAGAAGAGATGATTTTGGCAATACATATGTGGTTTTTGGTAGTATATATATATATATATATATATATATATATATATATCATTCTTGTCGACGTTTAGATATAATTAAATCTTGACTAATCATTCTATTTTTGTAAATATATACAGCGCGAACCGATGGATCAATAATTGAAGGACCTCATATTACTAATGAAACTGTTCAAGCCGGTCAAGATGCTATCTTTCATTGTAAAGTCAATCCAGAAGAACATCGATCAAGTACCATACGAGTAAGTTGTAGTGGTATTTCAATTTGTCGGGTTTTTGTTTTTTGTTTGTTATCTATTTTAACAAATTGTTCAATTGTGAAGAATAATTCAATTTACACAAATTTTTTGTGATTATAATTGACATTAATTGAATAGTCGTCGAAAAAATAGTAGTAGTAGTAGTGTTGTAGTGAAGGAGAACACAGGTGAGGACAGCCTAATTTTTAATTGGTAAAATAGGAAAACCGTATCGTAAATCGTTAATTTGCACAATTTCAATCAATCATATCGAACTGGACTGTTCCTGTTGCAAAACATCAATCTGACATTTCACTGTTCATGCGTTTCATACAAATTCCATTATGTTCCCACTCTTCCTTTCTTGATCTTCCCCCATCTTCTGCTGCCAGACATTACGTTGACACTCGCGTCATATACTACTTATAAGTAGCGCGCACCACAGTCTGAGTAGTAGTAGTAGTTGTAGTAGTCAGTATTGAATAATGACTTCATTTTAATTTGAAAATCCCCACCAATTTACAGTAGTATCTCCATCGACAATGTTGAAGCCTCTGAACAATCAAGTTACCACTTGAAGCTGTATTTATGAACTGTTAGATGTTAGTTCCTTAATAGTCCTCTCAGGATTTGGATGTCGTAAATAAAGTGATGTATGAGTGTGTATGAATTAAGCACTATTGAGAGGAGTTTCAATCGAAGACAAAATATCTATTGAGTACATTTTAATTTTTGATAATTCTGGTTAAAATGTATCCTTTTTTTCTGTTAAACAAAATAATTCCTATGCCTAAGCTACACGCACTACCGAGCTTTTGTACAATTAGAATTAGCCTCGATTGATCAGAGTTACACATTTAACACACCATCGAATGCCAGCCCAATAGTCTATAGTTTGGGGCGTTCGCGCGCGCAAGACCGAAGTTCTTGGCTCTGAATCCTTCGATTAGCAGGGATAAATAAATAATAAGTTTTGATTGACAGTGAATCATTGATAATGTTACTAATTTACGCCAATTAGTAGTATCATGAAATAATAAGAAAAAAAAGGAATTAGCAGTATTAAATTGTCAATTTCTTTTCTTTTTTCGTTCATAAAACATTTCTAGTGGGGTAAAAGTATCGATATGAATGAACGGTTTGCTTATGAAGCAGAAGGAAGAGAAGTGATTCAATGGGCTGGTGGAACATTTGTTGTTCTTCCTAGTGTACCAACGGCATTAGCTTTAAATTCTAATCCATCTAGACTATCAGTGCTTGGATCTGCCACTTCATCATCATCTTCGGCATCATCATCATCATCGTCAGCTGTGGCGGCAGCATTACCTTCAGGTGCTGTAGCTACTGAAGTTTCACCAAGTCAAAGTAGTCAACTTGTACTGAGAAAAGCTAGCCAATCAGATTCTGGACGATATGTATGTTCTGTATTAACTGAAGCTGGACGAGATGATCATAAATTTGTTCAAATATCTGTAGTTGGTAAGTTTAATTTTCTAATTTATTTTCTTTTTGTTTGTTTGTTTGAAAAATATTTGAATCAGTTCTTATTGAATATTTGTTGGGGGGTGTTAGATCCCCAGAACTCACTTGGGAAATGCCTTAATTTTGAATTTCATGTTTGCGAGTATTGGCTGATCAGTTGACCTTGAGATCACATTTCCCAACAGGAAAATCTGTGGTTGTGATTGGCTGCTGTGTATTTTAGTGTGCTATTTTTTTGACTGTCCCAAGGATGTTTCTATGACGTATAAATATAAGAGATTTGTGTGCTTGAATGCATTGTGCTTGCTAGGTATTTGTAGAATATACTTTCTACGCTATATTAAGACTTCTATTTAGCCGTTTTCGGATCAAGGTAGCCTATCTGAACTCTTGTTCACTGTCTCGTTCGCGTTTATCGATTAAGGTGAACCCGTAATAATTCCAAGCATACATAGTGACGAACCTAACAATATTGAATATTCTTTTGCATTGGTTGTTGCATATGAGATAGACAAGTCAGATCATCTGCTAAGTCAAAATTGTCCAATTGCATCCTAGTTGTCCACTGTATCCCATGCTTCCTTCTAGATTCTACTACTGAGAAGACTGAGGCATTCGAGGAAGATTGTTTCATACAAATTTACACTCTGAGTCAATTAAAAACGAAAACATTACATTGAACACTTTATTTGCACACCATCTTTGAGTCGTGACTTCCAACACTCCATCCTATTTCCATTCCTGTTGGTACTCGATTTACTTCTTGCTTTTGCTCCATTTGCTTTCCGTATTCCTCTTCTGACCGTGAGACTTCTTCTTCCACGTCCATTCCTATACTACTTATATCGTTCGTATAAGTAGCACACACCGCACTACTACTACTACTACTCCGACGACTACGACTACTCACACTACTACTACTACTATTACTACTACTACTACTACTACTACTACTACTACTACTACTACTACTACTACTACTACTACTACTATTACTACTATTACTACTACTACTACTACTACTACTATTACTACTATTACTACTACTACTACTACTACTACTATTACTACTACTACTACTACTACTACTACTACTACTACTACTACTACTACTACTACTACTACTACTACTACTACTACTCCGACTAGTACACTCACACATGTACACACTGATTTGTATTCTTAATTAATAATAACAGATAATCTATTTCATTTTTAGTTTAATTGTATTGATGCTGATAAGTTGTGAAAGTCAACATTATTTGTAGTTTACAGATTTGTTTTAAATAATATCAGACAAGTAGTTGTTTGAATTTTTTTTCAATTGTTTCAATCTCATATCATTACTGTGTTTTTCTTATTGTGTCTAGTATACATGTATGTGTGTGTGTGTGTAACCATCCATTGGTCCATGTTGAAATAGTAATAATCATCATTGTTGTCTTGATTGACAAACTTTATGCTCTGTTTCATTGTTTGTCTTTTTGACCCATGTTAATCAAGTATCCATGTACATTGTATGTATTCAGCTTCAAGTATCATCCTTTAGCATTTCAATTATCGATACACACACACACACACGCACACGAAACACACACGGAACCATTTGAACAACTGCTTGTGTAGGGCTTGGTTACAACTATTATTCTACTACTACTGCTACTACTAATCTTTTGCCTATAATTGTCCTCCAGTTGTTTCTTCAGTCGAATCTACTCTACACATCTCTCGCTCTCTCTAACTCTCCCTGCCTCCTTCCATCATACACACAATAGCTGACTCATTAGGAGTTAATTGGAGTGTATGACACACATTCTAATTGAATGTCATTGTTCAATTGTTTTCTCTGCTTTGAAAAAAACAATGAAATTTATTATTATTATTATTATTATTATTATAATTATTAAATTAAATATTATCTATTAGTTGATTAGTTGTTTATATCGTCTCTATCTAGTAACTAAGGTCAAAATTAATTGAATCTCTCTCTCTCTTTCTCCAGACATGAATACTATTTTTTAATATTATTAATTCAATAAAACAATTTCATAATTGAATGTGAAATTAGATTTTGAAGGAAAACAATGTTGTTTAAGAAGACAACAAATAAATAAATATTTTGTATGAAAGTGAATTTTTTTTACCAAACAATGGGATACTTTAAAATAATAATGTTAATTGAACAAGAGAGGTTAAGCATTCGCATGCGAGAATGAAGGTCAGACAAATGGACAGATAGACAGATATGTAACGCAGAACTTCGTACGTATGTACGCACATCAGTTCGGATTGCTCTACCGCATTAGCACAGAGACACAACTGTCAGTTCAAATCCCATAGTGGTAGAGATAGTAGAAGTACTACTAGTAAAGGAGAAGATTAGGGTACAATTCAGTGAGATGAAGTAAGAAAGAGAAAGATAGAGATTATGAGGAGTGCAGAAGCTTAGAATTTGAGATAATACAAAGAGTGGATGCGCTTGCGCCACTGCAAACGATGTTGAGCCATGTCGTTCAAGGTCTCTAACCATTGGTGAATTTCGTCTCGCGGACCCCAACCACGCAGCCTACATCTACCGACATGACTCAGTTCACTAGTCAATGACTTCATACATTTCTGCCATGTTTTGGTTTGGCCGCCCCTAACTTTCTTCCAACCTATTCCTACAACGCAAAACAAAGATCGACGAGACTGTCGGTGTTTAGGCATACGTAACACATGTCCCAACCATTTCAACTAATGAAGTTTCACTACTTCATCAATTGATCTACCATCCCTACCTAGTACTCGTTTCCTAACGATAGCATTGCTCACTTGGCTGTGCCAAGAACGAAGGTCCAGGGTTTAATTCCTGTGTGAGTAGCAAGAGTTATGGATGCGTATTGCTGAAGAAGAGTCAGTCTCATACTATAGGACAAGACGGCCGTCTTTCCATCAATTTTTGTCCAACCAACTCTGTCCTGGACTTCCCTTTCCAGTTCTTCCCAGTTTTTGTTCATTCTTCTAATGTCTTTCTCTATTTCTCGGCGTAATGTGTTTCCGAGTTCGAAACATGCGAGATGCAGGAGTCACGGATGTGCACTTCTGATGAGTGCCATACCAGGACTTCAAGGTCACCCTTCAATGCTGACTTTCAATTATCAATCATTCATTTGTTTCGTGGAAGAATTTTGTTGAAATATTCCTTGTTCAGTATTCTATATTATACTAAATAGAGTTATTTTTATTATTAATAATAAACTCTAATACTCATGTATCATGTTTTTTTAATTTGTTTTAGGCGGTTCATCAATTCAAAGTCATCAATTAATTGAAACTAGCGGACCACATCGTTTAACATTATACATTGCTATACCGACAACCATATTTTTCATTTGTCTATGTGTTGTAACTTATTGTTTGATCAGTCGACGTACCACTACACAACATCGACGTTTATCTAATCTTCGACAACAACATCAACACCACCAACAACAACAGCAACAACGTAATTATTTCAATGCAATACATCAGTCACAAATTAAATCACCATCTATAACAAGTCATACTGGTTCCATTGGTGTATATCCTAATGGTGTCAATATGAATGGTACTACTAATACTACTACTATCAATAATAATAATAATAATATTAATACTAATAATAGTAATCATCATAATGGTTCAATGAATACACATTTACCAACTGCAAATTTCCCAATTAATTTACATGGTACTATACCAATGATCTCTGGGGGTTATCCGACAATTTTAATTCAACAACCACAATCGCAATCGCAACAACAATCACTATCGAATTCATTGCCAACTTATCATCAATCTGTACCAGCATCGATTACAACTGGAAATAATAATCATAATCATAATAATAGTAATAATTTAGCATGTTATACAAATGGTTTAATTTATCCATTACCGCCAAATGGTAGTCATATTATTCATTCAAATCTTACATCCAATTCAATGTTCAATTCATCAACAGAATCGCCAACGTCTGGAATTAACACCAACACCGCCAACAATAAAATTGAACCAGTTGAAGGTAGGCTAATGTTTCATCCTCAATCCGCGTTCATTAGTAATCAGTATCATATGAATGATACATTTCGACATTATGATCAATCTAATGGAATAATTCATACAACAACAACAAATTATGACATCACTCCAACTATCACTACTACTAATACACCATCTTCATTATTATTATCTTATCCAAATCATACTAGTACATAAAAAAAAAATTTTTGTTTAATTATTCCCTCCCCCACTCATTCACTCACTCACTCCATCACTCTCTCACTCATTTGCTCACTCGCTCACTCCCTCACTCACTCTCTTCATTTGTGTACATGATCAATATATTTACCATTATATATATACATATATACATTGTTTTAGGTCATTTCAATTGGTTTGTTTTTAGTCTTTTTAAAACACACACAACAATGAACCAGTTCAAATGATAATAGGAAACAGGGTATTTCATAGGTTTCTTTCTTTATTACCTCTCCCTCTGGCTCTCTCTCTTTGTTAATTTCTCATTTTTTCAGTGTTTAACGTTTGTTTGTTTTTTATATGATGTGAGGAGTGTACTTACCTCACTCAGTCTCTCTCACTCACTCACTCACTCAGTCGCTCATTCATTCACTCACTCATTTTCTCGGCACATGTATACGTTTGTCAGAGTGTAGTCAGTGTTACTAGTAGAATTAGTAGTAGTACTTTAAATTTCTTCTTAAAAAAAACATCAAAGATTTAATGTTACATTTTTTCGACAACCGGTTTTGATTATTTAAACTCAGCAATACAAACAAGATATGATCATCTTTTTTTCGTATTCATCATGTCGAATCGTACACCAGCACACTAGCACATACAAACGCATTTGTTTACAAGTGAACACAAATTGGTTCATTTCAATTCTCCAAGTGTCTTTCTTGTTTTGTTAGAAACAATTACACTAAACAATTTATTTGTATTTCGTTTTTTTTTCACCATTGAAAATTCTTCATTTTTCTCAACACAACAATGACAAGTCAATTATGGTTACTTTCTTACACCACGTCCAATTCACTACATCCTAGTGTTTTGGTGTGTGTGTGTGTGTGTGGATGTTTCAACATTCGGGTCACAATGTTCTATGATAAAAATGCAGTTTCCTTCTGATTGGTTAAAATTAATTTTTGTCTTTACACATTTTGTATCGCCTTCATCATCTATCTAGTCCAATTTTTTAATTGTTATTGTTGACAATTTTAAGAATACAGGAGGGCAGTAGTTTGTGTGTGTGTGTGTGCGTGATTGATCAGCGCTAGTTCAGCTGGTCCCTGCCACCACCCACCCACCTTCGTTTTCTTGTTTGTCTAGATTTCAATGTTCAACAATTTCTCTTCATTGCACATGTATACAACTTTTAAATTACACATAAATATATACATATATGTATATTCTGCACTTGCATATTATTTGTATATCCTCACTGTGCTAGTGTTGACATGTTTCCGATTCTTCACAATTCAATCATCCATGTGATCAATTTTATTGCATACATTTGAAATTAAAACAAAATCTCTTCTTTGTTTTGTTTTGTTCTGTTTTTCTTTTAACCAATCGAATAAAATAATCATTTCAACATTTCATTGTTCCTATGTAATATTGTGAAGTAATCTTGACAAACTCTTGAAAATAATCTTTTTTTATTTGTTCAAGTTATATTTTATGTGTTATTATTATTATTATTATTATTTATGAGTGAAACTTCCTTTATAACAATCAATAAACGCGCGCGCGCGCGCGTGCGTCCGCACACAAACACACATATATATATAAATATTCAATGTCCAATCATGCATATTGTTGTATAAATATGATGTTGATGATTTTTTTTTCGTTTAAATACTATTATTATTATTATTATTATTATTTTTAATATATGTTTGAGAAAATAATGACATGATAATTAAGTTGAAACAGGGTATTTTGTAAATGTATTTGAACAATGTTGTCTATATTTTGAAAAAAAATAAAAACAGAATTTCTTTTTTTGAGCCAGACAAATAATCTATTGAACCCATTGAATGAATAAATGAATGAATTCTCCAGTGAATGAGATGAATTTACACACATTTGTTTTGTGTTGGTTTTTTCAAAAAAAAAAAATAAAGTGTTTTTAGTATTATCATTTATCATTATTATTATTATTATTATCATTATTATTATTATTAACATTACTTGTTTTAAAATGATAATAATATAATTTATTTGAAAAAAAATATTGAAGTTCAAATTTTTCTATTTATTATCTAATTGATCAATATTTACACATTGATGCAATGTGACAATGATGGTAATAGATGATTCTGTTCATTGAAACAGCACTGGTTTCCGTTTATGAGAAATATTAAGTCAACATAATTTGAAATATAAATTACCTATTCAATATATACATATATATGTTTTGAAACCGTGAATCGATCAATGTTAGACCACCGTTAGAAACCTGGAAGCACTGAACGGCCGTTTCATCCTGGTATGGGACTCCTCAGCAGTGCGCATCTACGACTCCTGCACCCCGCAGGATTCGAACCCCGTTTTCGTGTAGACAGTGTCTACCGAAGACTGTGTATGAGGTTGCGCAACTCCGTGAATTTGATCAAGTTAGACATTAACATCGTTAGATACCGGCTCAGTGGTCTAACTATTAGGGCGTTCGCGCACAATACTGAAGGTCCTGAGTTCGAATCCTGCGGGGTGCAGGAGTCGTGGATGCGTACTGCTGAGGAGTCCCATACCAGGACGAAACGGCCGTCCAGTGCTTCCAGGTTTCTAATGGTGGTCTAACATTGATCGATTCATGGTTTCAAAAATGTGTAACTTAACAATCTTCTCTGTAATTCATATATATATATATATATATATATATATTTACATATATAAGCCGAAAAAAAGATTAGCTGAAAGTGTACTATGCTGCAAAATTTTTGAAATATAATTCTTGGCAATTTATTTGGCATATATATGTTTGTCTTATATTGTCTCGCAGATTTCAGGTCAGTTATCATGACACCTACTGTGGATAGACAAGTCGTTCTTTGATACGCACCAAGCTTGAAGTACCTCAGTTAGATTTTCAAGATTGCTGAATTCCACAGCGATCGGATGTGGGGACTTGATGGACTTGATATATGAAACGGACGAGGCAGCCTAGTAATGCAGATGACCATCGTGGTTTGAAGGTCCAGGCTACGTAAAAGCCACCGCCACTGTTACACATCATTTAAGTGAGCTTCATCAAAGCTACCTTAATCCATTTCGGGCATGCCATGAACTACCGTGATGGTGTGATTTTGGGTGCCTGGTGTTATTCTGGCTGCCGCTCGTACTGACCACGGCTTATCGTGGCTGATGATGGATCGGAGAGGACAATTTTTCCGATGCTCTCTCGGATGAGAGACGGATGTCTTCGGCAAGTTGTGCCGAATCTAGTGTTCCCCTCATTGGAGAGGGTTTCCATTTCGAGGCGTTCTGATCTTTGAAAAAGAGTCATATTTTTGCTGGAACATTGCACATTCCGAGGATTGCACAGTATTTATCCAATCGCTCTTTATCAAAGGCCGCCCTATCTTGAATAAAGCTATCCTCTGACACTGGAACACTGAATGAAATCAGTGTATTTAGTCAAGCGTCCTTTTCGCTGATTGGTAACACTTCGTGAGTTGTGGTGTTTCCGTTTAACTTACACTGTTAACGGCATCGCGCTGTTAAACATGATTGATACTTGACAGAACAGAGCAGTTTATCAAGGCGGCTGGAACGAGACCACACAGTGGTTCCGAGTTGAAATATACCTTCACACAAACTGAGTAATAATTATTAAAGCTGCTAAATGTTTACTAGTGTGTTGACTACAGGATAATAATGTGTGTGAATATTAATGATTTATTCTCAAATAAAAACGTGTTTTTAGAGGTGTGCCAACTTATAGAATAGATCAATTGACTTCTTATGAATGGCTAAAATCTTTCACATACAATTATGGATTACAATTCAGACTCTGCAATGTATAGAATACGATAGTTGGTGCAAGTTACGACGATTGAGTTGTGATGAATCACCGTTGATCGATTACCTATTCAAGGCAAATAATCCTCATTTGCATGTAACAAGAATTGTTGAGATTGGTCAGATCGTAAATTTACAGTCTCCTAAATAAAGCAATCAAGTTTTTAGGAATTTGATGAAGCACCAAGAAAACGAAATAGAAATGGTCGAGGAAAGGAGAAGAAAATATTCTTGTTTAAAGTTGAGTTATGATGACTCAGCAGATATGATTTTTGAATAAAACAACGGTACAATAACTCGGAGCATTCTTTTTCTGTATTAGAGAACACTAACTGTACACTTAACTGTGCACCCAGCCTAATGAAGTGTTAAGTTCGTCACTAGGTACGCTTGAAGCCATAACGAGTTCACCTTAGTCGATAAACGCGAATGAGACAATTACCAGCTGGATGCATGTAAACTAATCCCATTATCGAAATAATCCTCACAGGATGCACATATAACAAATAACCCCAGATCAATTGTAGGCCTAACTATCATTGAGAAAATCCCAACTTTCAATACAAATGTATCATCACAAGTTAGTTTAGTAAACAAACATCAAACTTGTTAGATAGATGACTTTACTCAATCTTTTATACATGAATCATTCAGTGAATTGTTAATTCGAGTATTTTTTCAAGCTTTCAAGCATTAACACCAAGTGATACATTTTGAGTTACATACTGGTATTAAAACAAATGAATACATTGACCTGTTGACTTGTATTCAATCATCTCAAAACTTTTTCTTCACATCTGAATAGATCAGTCATTCGAAATATAATGATTGCGTTACATTTTACAACTACCGCCATGACAGATTGACTGTAGTAAATTGTTCAGTGGTATCTATTGGTATTATTGTAGTGAAGGAGAACACAGGTGAGGGCAACCAAAATTGTATTTAACGAAAATTACAGAGTTACTCAGTAAAATAGGAAAACCACATTGTAAACGGTTAATTTGCAAATCTTCAATCCATCATCAATCCATTGTCCGACATTTCACTATTCATGCGTTTTATACAAATTCCATTGTGTTCCCACCCTTTTTTTTCTTGATCTTTCCCCATCTTCTGCTGCCAGACATTACGTTTACACTCGCGACATATACTTACTACTTATAAGTAGCGCGCACAACACTCTGAGAATAATATATCCCTATTAAATATCTTCAGTGTAATTTGCACTGTATGAAATGGATATGCATTGAAAGAGTAATTTGTTAAGAAACAATTATTGATTGCATAGGATCGATCCATTTTGTTTTATTTTAAGGCTATTCAATGATAATATTGTACAAATATTATAACATAAGTTTTGTTTTAGTTAACCTATTCACTGATACACACATTTACTAATATTTTTGGTTCATGCTAAATGTTTTCTAGTGTATGTAGTCTGTTAATTGTAACTGTGTGATTACACAATGTCGAAGTAACACACCATTGCTTATTTGAATGAAAAATATACCCGTCGTCAAGTCATTTACTAGTTAAATACCTTTTTTCTATGAAATACACTTATATACATTTTCCTTCCTGAACTCTCTAAAATTTGTATTTGTGACAATGAAGTATAAACTATTCGTCTTTTGTCAATTTACCTATATGTATACACAGAACATTAGATGTTAGCGTTTTCTGTACTGATCAACGTGAAACTGTTTCTCAGAATAACGTATCTATCAAATCAAACTACACAATGATTTTGAATTTACACGTCTAATAATGGTTAAATATTATTGATATCAAATGGAATTCCACCGACTATAAAAAAAATTCGATAGGTTGATCAAGATTTTGTATAAATTTGTCGAAGTTAATGTAATAAGTGTGAAAATGTCACACTATTCCAATTACGACTATTACATTCACTGCACTACACATTAGGTAGTATTTGAATTTTGTTTGTTATTATGTAAAATCATTAGTTTCTTAAATGCACTAATGTGATACTAGTTAATGCTTCTTTTAGGGTCAATCAAAATTACTATTATTTAAGTTGACCATGTGAGGTCATTACAATATTTTCAACAGTTGAAACTATCTACTTGTGAACTTATAAGTAGTCAAGTGATGGATACAAAAATGTTTGTAGCCAGTTGAACAATTCAACAATTATTGTGTTGCTAGTGAAAATCAAATTATACCCACCAAAATGACTGGTATATTTCATTCAGCAATTTGTTTCCAGTTACTTCAAAAGAATAATTAAAAATGAAGATTTTCTCATATCGATCAAGTAAAAAAAAGTTAGAAATGTTTTAACCCCATTCTCCACAGTCACCTTTACAATACTGTGCTTGAAGTTTTATAGATTGTAATGCGTTTTATCTGAATCCAATCAATTATGAATGAGACAAGATGAAAATAGTTACAGGTTTCAAGTGAAGGTTTTTTTAGAAAGCCACAGTTAAAATTAATACTGTTTTGCAATAAATCACAGTCTCTCGTTTGCTTTTCAATAAACACCTTTCATAAATAATGTTGCATTTGTTTTCCATCGTCCAGTGTGTTAAAGTTTAACACAGTTAGCAAAAATATAGTTTGTAACTAATGCTGAATGCAAAATAATATTCAGATTTACAGGCAATCTGATAAACTGAAGATCAAGTAGACAGAACAATGAATTACGATGAAGACATCTGATTGTTCACTAATCAGTAAATGTATCAGTATTGATATAATCTATTATATACCCTTGAAAATATATACACCAGAACAAATCTGCTATATCGAATCTGCACTATAAACATGTTAGGGAAGTTCTATCCCCAGAACTCACTTGGGAAAGGACCTAATTTTGGAATTTTTAGGTTTTCGCGCATAAGCTGCTTAGTTGACCTTCAGGTTACATTTCCCACTCGGAAAATCATTGACTGTCATTGGTTGATGGATTATTTTAGTCGGCTGTTATTCTGGCTCGCCCAAAGACTTTCTCATAAGGTATAAATAAGCTTGTCAACCTCGTATTTCCGGATGCTTGTAGAATACACGTTCTACCCCTTATCAAGACTTCTTGATATAGTTAGCTGGGCCGGGGACAAACGGATTAGAATTGCATATTTTGTCACTGAGTCATTGCTTGCCTCCAGTTTTACCGATTAGGGTGAACTCGTGATAGTTCAAGCACATCAATCGGCGAGCATATCAAAGAAATTATGCGAAAATTCATGCTAATTAATTACGAGAGATAATCAGATTATCAAATAAAACTAGACGAAAGCTGGTGAATTTTCGGATGGGATTGAAAGGCCACGACGAATTTCCAAAGTAACTAAAGAAGTCGGTATTGTGACAAAAGTTTGTGAAGTTTTGGAGCAAATCCTTCAGTAAAATCAGAGCGAACACATTAGACAATGAATTGAATTGTCGACTTTTTCCCTAGTCTGGAGTAATAAATAGTGCGCTGTTTCTTTGCGATTTCAATAATGAGATAGAATCAACACCAGATTGTCTACCTCTCATCGCTATTGAAATCATAATAAGATGTTGGATGTATAGTTGTAAAATATTGCAGTGAAGGAGAACACAGGTGAGGGCAACCGAATTGTATTTAACGAAAATTACAGAGTTACTCAGTAAAATCGGAAAACCATATCGTAAATTGTTCATTTGCAAAATATCAGTTCATCCTATCGAACTGGACTGTTCCTATTGCCAAACATCAATCCATTGTCACTATTCATGTGTTTCATACAAATTCCATTGTGTTCTAACTCTTCCTTTCTTGATCTTCCCTCATCTTCTGCTGCCAGACATTACGTTGACACTCACGTCATATACTACTTATAAGTAGCTCGCACCACAATATGATCTTTGAAGTTTAAAATATGAATACGACATTTGTAATTGATCCCAAATGTTTTGGAAAAAATTTCCCCGCATACATTAAAACAACATAGTGACATAAACAAGTAGTATTTAGCTAATTTTCTCAACACAATGCGAATACTTTCATTTTTTTTAGGTCAATGAATACTGATAAGATAATAATAAGTTAGAAACTGGACAAAAATTCTACTTTTTAAATCCAATTTCTAGCTAAAATTGAATACCAGCAACTGTTTGCAATGAAACTATCTAGAAGAGTACTTACTACTCATGACTAGAGCGTTTTTTTTCTAATTAGTTATTTGAAACAAAAAACCAGTTGACATAAAGGTACCATATTATATATATTTTGAAAAATAATCAGTTTATATAAGCTCTATGATATGATTTATATAAGTAGTGGTTTTTAAATTTATCTCTGTCAAAATATCAAAAGAATAAACGTGATTATGATATACATACTAGTATTTCAAATTATGCACTTCAAATGAAGAATTTATTGAATAAAATAGAGTAGAATCAATGCTTAGAATCTTTATTCCATGTCATTAACGTAGGCTAATGAAGATAATAATCAATAATTTTCGGTAAAAACAATTGTTGAATTCTTATTTTCCTTTTTTGATTAGTTCTTTGAATAATACTTTTATAGTAGTATACAGTGTACTTCATCAAAGTTCTAAGGGTATTGATTGAACCACTTACTTACTTACTTACTTACTTACTCGTTACTATACCCATGCTGAGTTTCTTGGGATCGACTCAGCCAATTTGTCAATGAGACTGTAATAGATTGACAGAACTGAATGAAGACAACAAACAGTACACATGATAAGTTGACTCTGATTAATAAGAATATGGACTGATAATTTTCTATTCATTGACTGATACGATATCGTACTCACTGTGGTAATTTTCACGCTCTCTCTACCCTTTTTAATAAATACATAAACTTGTGACATCATGTCTTTCTTTATCAAGGCAATCTGCCTAGGATGCTTATATACACTACTAATCCAAAAACACAGAGTAAATTTCAGTCGCGAAATATCAACACCATGGGATAATTTAAGCCATTTCACATTGAACTGAGTTAGTTTCAATATTTTTTTTTGTACAAAAAAAGATCACATTTGTTTTAAACAACTTGATAGATGATTAACTTTGATCTTATATTATTATTTTAACTACTATATTTAACCAATGACCAATAAGAAAGACAAGAAAAAGAATATTTTATTAGGTAGCGAAATAAAATCGATATCCTGAACTACTACTACTCACTGCACTGTCAAATCAATAATATTTTCCAAATATATTACACTCTCTATCTATCTATCTATCTATATAATCTACAAATAGAGAATAGATGTGATACAGTCATTTTTAAGCAAAAACATGATTTTTCAAAGTTGTACTGAATAAAATCAACTTGCAGTGTGTAAAATCAGCTATCAATTAGCAATTAACAATCAATGAACCTGATTAAAGTTATTACAATGTGAATGTGCTTACTTTATTTCTCTCTTAAGATAATAAAAATAACATTTCTAAATCAAAGAAAAGCACAATTTATGTCCAACTATTTTCTCTTGTAAAACAAATTAGTTGTATTGTGGTGCGCGCTACTTATAAGTAGTAAGTATATGACGTGAGCGGAAACGTAATGTCTGTCAGTAGAAGATGGGGGAAGATCAAGAAAGGAATACAATGGGAACACAATGGAATTTGTATGAAACGCATGAATAGTGAAATGTCAGACAATGGATTGATGTTTTGCAAATTAACGATTTACGATATGGTTTTCCTATTTTACCAATTAACTCTGTAATTTACGGAAGACAGTCATTTCATACTGATATGGAACTCATCAGCAATGGGCATCCATGAATCCAGGCTACTCACAGCATTCGAACCCAAGAGTTTTGGGTCATGTACACGAACGCCTAACATCTCTGAACCACTGATCCGATCTAAAGTTTTTTGCAACCTCACACTCATTCTCTTCGATAGTTACTGACTGAACACTCGACAATAATGAAATGCGAGAATTTCTTCACGACACTAGTCACCACTAGTGGGCATACTGTGTTTACACTCTTGACATCATAGTGTCATGAAGATCATCATTGTTGTTGGACATTGAAGTCATGAATAAATACATTGTGTATATGTATACGGATTAGAAGGAATAAGTAAATCAGTAAATAAATCAGTTAGTTATTAAATATTCTCAGCATCTGAATGACACAAAATATTCATTCACAACACTACTTAATATCAATTACAACACAGCCAGCCACAATTATTTGATGAATATATATATATATTTAGATATTTATTGACAAATCAAATCAAATCAAATCTAAATGTATCCATCATACATCAATCAACAATAGAAATAAATAAATATTTACAATGTACAATGAGAATTAGTGCTTGATTAAAAGAAATTTTGTAAAAAACACAATACAAAATTGAGCCATTGATATGCTGCACTATAAATGAAAGAACTCGAGAACAAATTGATGTTTTTTCTTTTCTGAGGATTTCAACATGATTATGGAAATCCATTTCACTGACTCATGCATAGAACAACTAACTAACTACCAAATTCCACTAACATTTCTCTAGTTTTTTTTTATTGAATCGAAACAGTTATCTTATCAAAGCAATCGATTACTATAGGCGGATTTGGTGACACATTTTCAATGGATTGTTGTGTATCAGTGATATTATATTCTGCAGTTCAGATTTTATCGTGCAAATGTACATTTCATTCATTAGCAAATCGAAGTTTTTATTACTTGTTGGCTTTTTGCGTGTAAGTGTGTGTGTGTATGTAGAATTAAACAGATGAATGAATCCTTGTCATATTGGACACTGAATGACCATCAATATTATTACTACAATCGATAGTTGTTTGTGGTGGTAATAAATACACACTGTCAGTTAGTTCCGAGTCCGAATAATGATCAGTGATTAATTTCTCTGTACTCAATTGATCAAATGATAAATGTCGACTATGTTGACTTTTTTTCACATGATTTAATTTGAATTTGAATGTACGACGTGCTCGTTTATTGTTGTTTAATTGAAATGAATTATTGGTTGATGCATAGATTGAATGTTGTTTCATTTGAAATAATGTTTGTAAATGTTTCAATGAGAAATTGGAATTCTGACAACAATAATAATAAACAAACAAACACACACAATACAGATTAATAATAATAAGAGGTGAATAATATTCGTATCGATTATACAAACATTTAAACGTTACTCAATTGTTTTTTGAATATGACAAAGGAGGAGGAATATAAGCATAAATTGATTATTGAAATCTCTTTTTATTTTCAAATTAATTATTTCGAATTCCATTTTTATCTACTTTTTGTTTTATTTCAAATCATACAAAACTACTGCGTTGTATACTAACTAGCAATATGGCTTTTAAGTAGTATATACAATGGAATGTCACTGTTGGGGATGTTAGATCCCCAGAACTCGCTTAATAAATGTCTTATCTTGGATTTCACATTTGTGAGCATGGGCTGATCAGTTGACCTTGGGATTTCATTTCCCACCAGGAAAATCCATGGTTGTGATTGGCTGCTGTGTATTTTAGTATGCTATTTTCTTAACTGTCCCAAGGACGTTTCTATGATGTATAAATAAATGAGAGTTGTATGCTTGATTGTACTGTGATTGCTGGGTGTTTGTAGAATATACTTTCTACGCTTACAAAGCCTTCTTACTTCAGCTTGGGTTTCAAGGTAGCCTATCTGGACGCTGGTAATTGTCTCGTTCGCGTTTATCGACTAAGGTAAACTCGTAATAGCCTCAAGCATACTTAGTGACGAACACAATAGTCACCCTACAAGTTACTACTGAAGACCAATGAGTCGAATCCAATGGTATGGGCATGGTTTTAAAGTGTTCTAATGATTAGAGGATATGTGAAAGAAGATAACCGATAAATAATCTGTTTGTTATTTAGATGGAGGTTTGAAGACAAGGTGTACACAGTGTCTTGACAACTGCTTTTTTTTCAATAGACTACTGGATTAACAGTTTTATACAAAAAATTTGTTAACATTGCATTGAATCTATTTAAAAACTTATAACAGCATATTGACTAGGTGAGATTTTGATCTAATCTTCATTGAATGGAATGTTCGCAGGAACACCTGGATAAGGCAGAATCATGTGGCTGATTCTAATTGGATAATTGGTCATATTGACAGTAGTTTTAAAGCTTGGTTCTAGAACCTTTCAGAAGTTTGAGGTTATATTATTAGTGACTCCATAAGTATCCTCATTTTTTCAGTGCATAAAATAACTTTGAACTAGAGCATTCTTTCCATAATTCATGCCTTTTCATTTGTTTTCAAGTTGCAGTATACATTTAATCTGCGGTTATGACAAGCATTATAGGGAAATCAGATCTTGTATTGATTTAGTAGTAGACTTATCAATAAAACACTGGTGACTGACGAAATCTCAGCTCGGATACAGAAGGCTCAATTGGGTTTTGCCAACCTGCGTCTCTTATGGCGTAGGCGTGATATCCGTTCTCTAATCAAGGGACGAGTGTACTGTGCAGCAGTTCGCTCCGTTCTCCTATATGGCTGTGAAACATGGCCAGTGAGAGTAGAAGATATTCGTAGGTTACTGGTTTTCGATCATAGGTGTCTCCGAAGCATTGCTCTAGTATCGTGGGACAACCGAGTAAGCAATGCTGTCGTTAGGAAACGAGTACTAGGTAAGGATGGCAGATCAATAGATGAAGTGGTGAAACTTCATCAGTTGAGGTGGTTGGGACATGTGTTGCGTATGCCTAACCACCGACTGCCTCAAAGAGCTTTGTTTTGTAGTGTAGGAATAGGTTGGAAGAAAGTTAGGGGCGGCCAAGCCAAAACATGGCAGGAATCCATGAAGTCACTGACAAGTGGACTTAGCTATGTCGGTAGTTGTCGACTACCTAGTTGGGGTCCGCGAGATGATAATAATCGATGGTTAGAGACCTTGAATGACATGGCTCAAAACCATTTGTAATGGCGCCGGTGCAATTATTCCGTTGTGTTCTCTCAAATCCTAATCTTCTGGATTCTTCAACACCTCTGGTTTTGACTTTCTAAACTTTTCTCACTGAATCATACTTCTTGAATAATATACTCTAATCCTAACCTCTCCGATTACTTCTAATACCTTTACTACCTCTTCTACTATTGGATTTGAATTGACAATTACATCTCTGTGCTAATGTGGTATGGCAACATAAACTGATGTACTTACGTACGAAGTTCTACGTTGCATCTGACTGACTGACTGACTGACTGATCAATAATACAAGTTTGAATCATACAAAAAAAAATGAACTGACAAATGATGATTAATATCATTCAAAAGTACATATGACAACGTCTGTCTGTAATCTTCCTGATTAAATAGATTCAATCAATATCTATATAATATTAGAAGAAAGTCCTAGTTTATGTTTTATTGACCGCATCAGAATTCACTGTTCACTTTTGGTCATTTATGCTTTATGTAACAGACAAACAAACAAACAAAACATTCTATTTCATCTGCTTCATTGTAGGAGAGTAGGAGAGTTAAACTGGCACAAAGTTATGTAATTGTTTTTTGAATTTCAAACAACAACAACAACAAATAGTGTGAGATGCTTCTAACATGGATTGAATTGACTGACGACAATCAGTTAACACTTCTAATGATCACAACTATGCGGTCTCATTTCAAAGTCAATGAAATAAGTAAGTGAAACCAATAACATCGATATATGGTATTTTATAAAATAGAGTAACCAGTACAAATAAATGTCAATTAAGCGAGACTAATCAACTAGTCAAAATAACTCCTCCAGTAGAACCTTCGGGGCTACTGCCGGTCCCAAGCCCGGATAAAGGAGAGGAGGGTTGGACATGGGGTTGGCGACCCCATTCCGTCAAAAAACTAACTTGCCAAGAAAACGCTAACCAGAAAAACTAATTCAAACCATTTTAACTCCGCCGTGGGAGTTAGAACAAGAATTATGACGTCACGTGATGAAAGCCTATTTCGCTCGGAAGTCACGAGGCCGATGCCTCTTCTGACAACCAGAGCAACCATTCTTTTAAGTACATGGAACGTTCGTACATTAAGGGGGAGACTGGAAGACTATTTCAAGTTGTGGCAGAAATAAAAAGATACAACCTCGAGGTGTTCGGCATCAGTGAAATAAACTGGTGGGCGGCCTATGCTCCATTGGGGGTAACAGGCGTACTTAAGTAAGTAAGTAAGTCAACACAATCCAATATTCAAAGAATAGAATTCCGGAGTTCATTGTTATGAGGAGTTAAACTTATCATTTATTCCAAATGATCGATGTTAGCAAGAAACATATCATCATGATGAAAGGTCATTTCAGTTGATTTAATGAGCCAAATCTGCGAATTTATATCATGTTGGTCAAGAAATCAGTTCATTTTCTAAGGAGGTGAGATATATTTGTATATGTAGACAAGTATTTGTCTATATATATATTATTCGAAAGTCAATAGACTTTTAATTTATCATTTAATAAAGAAGAAAACATTTATGCACACACGCACACACACACACACACACCTCCTACTAGAACAATACAAAATAACATACTCACCTTAAGTATAGTCATTAGACTAATACCAATTACTGTAAATAATAAGCCAAATATTAAACCAATATAATCTGTATAATTCAATGTGTTCAATTCATGAAATAATATAGTAGATGCAATAATAACAAAACCAGTAAAGAATACATATAATAATGGTGTAATAATACCAGTATTGAATAAATCCAATGCACGATTTAAATAATACATTTGTATGGTAATTGCACCAATTAACCATACAATTAAAAACCAAAAAAACCAAAATGAGAAGATTGACGGCGACGACGGCGACAGCGACGATGACGCTGATGATGATGAGTAGTAGTATGTGGTGAATGCATTCTAACAACAAAAATGAAAGAACTTTAGAGTACCAATCATAGTAATAATTATAATAATAAAGTATAAATAAACAGGTTTTTGAGAAAAACAAAACAAGAACCAAACCGCCCAGGGCGGAGTTGGCGGTGCTGGGGACGCTGCGGGGAGGTGAGGTGAAGGCGGTATACGACAGCCTGGACGGTGCCACCTGGAAGACGGTCACCGGGCGGCTGATGACGGAGTTCGACAGCCCAATGGACAGGGAGGAGGCGCCACAGAGGTTCCGGTTGGCGAGGCTGTCGGCTGATGGTGACCCGTTGGTGCTGGCTGTGGAGCTCACGATGTTGCTGCACCGTACGCTGTCGAGTATGGATGGGGAGTCGGGGGCACAGTTGTTGGCGTCGTGTCCCAGCAGCGGGAACCAGTAAACGCTACACGTTGGATAGATGCCGTACCTATTCCAGACCAGCGGGCAAGAACAATGACCGACGTAGTAATCCGGCATATTGTAGCGCGTCACGGAATACGGAAGGTGATATTAACTGACCAGGGTCCCTGTTTTGAAAGACTCTGACAACAGCTAATTAAAAGGGGGAACGAGTGTGGTGTGAGCTACTTATAAGTAGTATATGACGTGAGTGTCAACGTAATGTCTGGCAGCAGAAGATGGGGGAAGATCAAGAAAGGAAGAGTTAGAAAACAATGGAATTTGTATGAAACGCATGAATAATGAGTGACAATGGATTGATGTTTTGCAACAGGAACAGTCCAGTTCGATATGATGAACTGATATTTTGCAAATTAACGATTTACGATATGGTTTTCCGATTTTACTGATTAACTTTGTAATTTTCGTTAAATACAATTCGGTTGCCCCACCTGTGTTCTCGTTCATTACATAATAATAATAAAGAATAAATAAACAGGGTTTTGTGAAGAACCAAACAAAACAAACATGCAGCATAATCCATATTGTATGCACAGTGATCGGTCAAAGATGAGCAGCTTTTTTTTCTCCTCTGAATCAACAAATAGTGACAATTCAATTCTTTTTTCAAGTTCAATTTCAATAATAATTTCAATCAATTATCAAACAACATGGAGTATAGGAGAAATGATTATTGACCCCATTGCTGGTGGATACTACTAGCAATGTGGCTTTTACATAGTTTGCAGCGGAGTGTCAATCGGAAGATACAACAGGGCAGAGAAGGGTGTCGAATTAGAATATTTGAAGAAATAATATAATTTAAGATTAAGAATAGTGAGATTAAGAACAGTGAGTGCCACATTATCAATCATTCGGGCAGAGTTTTGGAGGTTTGTGTGTTTTTACACATTTGAAATCATCAGTCAATCATTGTTAGACCACCCTCATTAGAAACCTGGAAGCACTGAAAGACGGCCGTCAAGTCCTGGTATGGGACTCATCAACAGTGCGTACCCACGACTCTTGCTCCTCGCAGGATTCGAACTCGGGGCCTTCGGTATTGTGCGTGTACGCCTAACCATCGGACCACTGGGCCGGCATCCAACGGTGTTAATGTCTAACTCTGATTGATCTACGGATTTTGCGTGACCTCACCCATTAGTCTTTGGTAGTTACTGCCAACACCCGACAGGGTTGAACTCCATTGGTCACGTCTTCTCAACTAGAACTCCGAGAATCTCCTCACGAAGATAGTCACTTGTCAGCACTGTTACGATATTTTTCGGGCAGAGTTTTGGAGGTTTGTGTTTTTACACATTTAAAATCATCAATTAATTGTCCGCAGTCACTGATAGCAGTTATCACACGAAATCCAATCAGATAGTTTGTATATCTATGTAAAATAACATGATTCACTTTAACAGTCAGTGACTTTGTGAAACAATGTCACGTTGTTGGTTTCTTTTTTTAGTCACTTCTATATTAGTCAACAAAACCTATCGAGAAAGATGACCTTTAGGTTTCAGTGATTGGGTAGCATCATTTAATGAGATAATTAGTGATGAATATATATTTAGATATATCTGTGTTTAGTTAAAAAAGATTACATCAGATTAAAATGTTTTCAGAGTGCAAATGTTTTATAAGCTCATGAGTATGCACCCATAGGTACAAAATTCAAGCGTTTTTTAAAGAAATTTCCCTACCGGAAGCCTTTAAAGGCTTCCAAGAAGCCGAAGAGATTGCATCTAATCGTAGCTCGACAAGATTTCTAGCATGTCGATGTGGCATAAAACAATTGGACATTTGTCTAACACCACTGTTCGTGTAGTCGTCAATTATAATAATGTTTTCACTTTACACCAATAACTATAAATACACCCTGGTTTCTCTGTACATCTCAGCACGTACTGGAGTAAACATTTATTTGTTTTCCGGCTTTTGATTTGCTCTCTATTGGCTTTAGTGACAAAGATTGTATTCTGCATTAGCCTTATAGCTAGTTAGCACACTTAACAAACTCCACATCCAGACAATCAGAGCAAAGCTAAGCTACTGGATTATAGTTTAATGATTACTTACTTACTTACTTACGCCTGTTACCCCCAAATGGAGCATAGGCCGCCCACTAGTTTTCTCCAACCAACTCTGTCATGGGCTTCCAGTTTTTGTTCATTCTTCTCATGTCTTTCTCTATTTCTCGGCGTAGTGTGTTCCTTGGCCTTCCCCTTTTCCTTTGACGTTGAAGGTTCCAAGTGAGGGCTTGTCTTGTGACGCAGTTAGGTGCTTTTCGTAGTGTTTGTCCTATCTACTTCCACGGCTTCTTCCTGATTTCCTCCTTTGCTGGAATCTGGTTTGTTCTCTCCCACAGTAGGTTGTTGCTAATGGTGTATGGCCAACGAATCCGAAGTATTTTGCGTAAACAACTGTTCATAAATACTTATATCTTCTGGATGATGGTTTTGGTAGTTCTCCAAGTTTCCGCTCCATACATTAGAACTGTCTTGACATTTGTATTGAAAATGCTGATTTTGGTTTTGGTTGATATTTGTTTGGAGTTCCAGATATTTTTCAACTGTAGAAATACAGCCCTTGCTTTATGCCGATCCGCGTTCTCACATCTGCATCGGATCCACCTTTCTCGTCGATGATGCTGCCAAGATATGAAAAGGTGTCAACGTCCTCCAAGGCATCTCCATCAAGAGTAATTTGGTTGACGCATGTTGTATTGTATCGTAGAATCTTACTTTTCCCTATATGTATGTTGAGAGCTGATGTTACACTGGTAATCTTTTCTTGCATTGATTGTTGCATGTGAGTTTAATTAGTATAACCGAATAATTCAATGTTACATAGTCAATGAGTGTTTGATCAATGCAAATTCAAAAAACAAAAGACGGCGTGGTTTAATTTTCTTGTCATAAACAAAAAGACTATCTCTACTCACTTTCAATCCTACACCAATACCTTTACAAGCAATCACTGACAATGAACCGATACTTCCACTAATCAATGTAAATATAATTGGATTTGTTTTACCATAACGTGGACCCAAGATAAAAATCAATATGATGGACATGAAAATGATGAATAAACTGTAGATAATGAAAGCTGAAGAAGAGAAAACCAAAAACAGTAATAAAATCTAAGAATAAAATACATTGGGAATTAAGGAAAATTGAAATTTGTTTGATATTATGTTGAATAGAAAAGAAATTCCTGTTAGGATATTCATCCAATATCCTAAGAGAATTATTGGCCCATTCCTATTGGTTAATTCTCACTGGTCAATTTTATGATCGTCCTAGATATCAATGTCACATACTCCAATGTTGTTTCTTATTGGTTGTCCTGACTATCAATGTCACTTCAAATGTTGCTTCCGATTGGTCGTCTTAACTGTCAATGTCACAGACTTCGATGCTGTTTCCTATTCGACCAAAATGTATAAATTCGCATTATTTGTAATGTTTTATGACCACGACTAGGACCAGGACCCGGTCCCGGATCCCTAGTCCGGGATCCTGATTCTCTTTTGGATTCGGACCTCGTACTTTCTGGGTGATTGTAGAATACAGGTTCTACTTCATATCACGTCTTATTTTTACTAAATATGGGGGGTAGGGACACTCGGATTAGAGTGGCTTGTCGTGTCGCCGGATCCTCGATCTTCGCTCTCGTTTTCTGACTACGTAAACCCGCAATAGTTCAAGTATTTCAAGTTGACAAGTTTAGGTGCAGGCGTAAATATAAACCATAAGGTTACATACATGATATCGTTGTTCAATTCAATCATTTCGTTAGTTTAGTAGCAAGTCTAAACATAAAAAAACCCGATTTATACAACTCCGTAATGGAAATCATAAAAAAATATGCTCATTAGTGACTAACTTCCTAGGGAAATTCTCAGAATTCTGGTGAGAAGCTGTGACTAGTGGCGTTCAACCGTGTCAAGAGTGTAGACTACCTACTCTCACCTATCGAATACAACCGGTGAGGTTGAGCCATACGTTCGATTGACTGAAGTTAACTAATAACACCATTGAATTCCGTCTCAGTGGTCGTCTAAAGATTAAGCGTTCGCGAGCGAGACCGAATGTCCCGGGTTCGATTCTCACGAGCAGGACTCATGGATGCACACTGCCGATAATTGTCATACAAAATACAAAACGATCGTCTAGTGCTTTCAAATATCTAATAGTGATCTGTCCTTAATTGATTTATGATTGCGATAAAAAATTAACAATCTTCACAACCTTATAAATGACAATTATAATATCAATTATAATCTAATCAATCACATTTGAATTTGTATGATAGATAACTTTAAAACTATATTGAATTTAATAAATTTGTTAATTCATTGTTGTTAGTCTTTCAATCAAAGTCTATTCGAATTAGAAATTAAAAACAAACAAACAAAAAAGTAACAGGTTTTTTCTTCTTATACACAATTGATTGGATTATGAAAAAGAATAATAATAATAATAATAATAATAATAATAATAATAATAATAATAAAACAATTGAATTTTATAAAAAGTAGACGAAACAAAACCGAAACTTACATAGATCCGTAGTTCTTAGCCACATTTCATGTAATGATGTTAAATTTTGTTCTTTCGGTGCATACAATACAATTAAAGTTGAACCGAATAAGCATAGACCACATCCAAATCCACTAAGACAGTTTAAATGTTCCTTTAAAAAGTGTACACTTAACAATGAACTAACAATCACAGATAATGCACCTAATGGTGTTATGAGTATAGCTGGAGCAAATATATATGCAATGAAATTTGCTGCTTCACCAATACCCATTAGAATAAAACCCATCCACCACATCCATTCACATAAATAACTAAGTGATCCATCACCTAAATGAATAAAATAGAAACAAAAATTAATCAAGCTCAATCTTGAGTTGAATTCATTTGTGAACATTTAAACTCTCTACGATGCTGGTGATTATATCTAGCTGGATAAATGCAAGGATGTTCGGGATGCGGTTCCCCCCCCCCGAAATGCAAAATGTTGCTTCAAGACTGGGTTGCATCGGCAACTGAAGTAGTGATAGGAAGTGAAGTAGTCGAGCGTATTGATCGTAGGCTACTGGTTTTCGATCATAGGTGTCTTAGGAGCATTGCTAGTGTATCCTGGGACAACCGAGTAAGCAATGTTGTCGTTAGGAAACGAGTACTAAGTAAGGATGGTAGATCAATAGATGAAGTGGTGAAACTTCATCAGTTGAGGTGGTTGGGACATGTGTTACGAATGCCTAACCATCGACTGCCTCGACGAGCTATGTTTTGTGGTATAGGAGTAGGTTGGAAGAAAGTTAGGGGCGGTCAGACCAAAACATGGCAGAAATGTATGAAGTCATTGACCAAAGGACTTAGCCATATCGGTAATTGTCGACTACCTGGTTGAGGTCCGCGAGATGATAATAATCGATGGTTAGAGGCCTTGAATGACATGGCTCAAAATCGTTTGCAATGGTGCCGGTGCATTTATTCTTTGTGTTCTCTCAAATCCTAATCTTCTGGATTCTTCAACACTTCTAGTTTTGACTTTCTAACCATATCTCACTGAATCATACTTCTTGAATAATATCTTCTAATCCTAACCTCTCTGATTACTCCTAATACCTTTACTACCTCTTCTACTATTGGATTTGAATTGACAATTACATCTCTGTGCTGATGTGGTATGGCGACATGAACTGATGTACTTGCGTACGAAGTTCTACGTTGCAACTGACTGACTGACTGCTAAAAATTCAGTATACATTGATATTAATTGCATAAATAATTTTGAACAATAATAAGACAATTTAAAAAATTCTTATCACGTAGTGATATCAGTTAAATCCAGATTTGAAAGTAGATCATACTATCATGATGTGCGGTGTTCGAGATCTCATAAACAAACGTGCCAACCCTTGAAAAATGGCTAGTTCAGTGAGAAGGCAACAATAGAATAAACATTTTACTTACTTTAACGTCTATATACATATAGATATATATATATTCCACCTTAGAAAATGAGCTCATTTCTTGACCAATGATATGTGTTCATCCTTTTAAAGGATATTTCTGATGGTCATCCAATGGCCTTCTCATTTGGCCATTTCCGATTGGCTCTTTGTATCAATTATCTCAGTTCATTCAGTTCTGTAGCCACATCAATATATTTAGTTTCTTTTCCGATAGTTTTTACTAACCATCACATGTATACATGTACAGATGATCGATTGATTTAACAATGATAAGCTGAACTGTAAATTACTAACTAATAGTTTTTTTATAATTTACCGGTTATCTTAGATAAGTCAGTCAATCAATCAATCAACAGCCACTTAGAACTTCGTACGTGCGCACGTACATCAGTTCAAGTTGACGTACCACATTAGCACAAAGATTTAATTGTCAATTGAAATCCCAAAGTAGTAGAGGTGGTAAAGGTATTAGCAGTAATCGGAAAGATCAGGGTTCGAAGATATTATTGAAGAAGTGAAATCAACTTAAAAGAAAGGAATAAAGTGATCAGGAATTAAGAAGTTTAGGATTTGAGAGAACACAAACAATGAATGTACCTGAGCCATTGCAAACGGTTTAGAGCCATGTCATTCAGAGTCTCTAAGCATCTATTACTATCATCTCGCGGGTCCCAACCACGTAGTCGACACTTATCGACAAGACTTAGTCCACTTGTTAGTGACTTCATATGTATAAGTACTTTCTTTAAAGTCTGTAGTGAAACAATGCCTTCAAAGAATAAACTGCCCGCTTACAGTTTTAACCATATAGGATTAACTGTGAATTAACTGTGAACGCTTACATGATTAATGACCAGATTCTCTGCCACCTCAATGTTATAGAAGTGTAAGGTTCAATAGATTCATCTCAAAACTGAGAGTAATACCCGTCAAGAGTCACTTTTAGGTTGAATAAATCAACCTTCTTACATTTCACCTGCAACGCTGACTTGAATTCTACAAAAAGTGCATATAATCAGAGTCTCCATAAACATAAAAACAGGATGAATAGATACTTAATTCATTTTATAAATATATATAGACAAAATAAAGGCAGTGACCCACCAGCTCTCAAACCATTCCTGGAAATTCGGCGAAGTGCAAGTTTTTTAAATATATAACTAGTCCCAATGAAAATAGTAGATAATAAGGCAAGACAAAGTCCAATATAAAAGTTGACAGACGATTTCTGCATCATTGAAGATGAAAATATCTTGATTTGTTAAATACAACAAACTCTGTAGATTGAATATAGCATTCTGTAACATAATAAATCACAATAAAAAAAATTAACTAAAACACCTATACTTGGAACATGGCAAAGAAAAAAACAGACAAATCAACTCATGTTTACAAGTCAAGTTATAAAGGAGTGTGACATAAAGACACCAAACAAGCACATCGTCGACACGGATTATACAGCAGTAACTGATTTCTAAAACTTTTTCCAAAGGAGCGAATAAACATTGATTATCCTCGTCTTCACTCGATTTGTCATAAATATACTCTTAAAGTGTTCTCTTCATCTAGATTTCCAAGAATTAACTTTATCCTTCAAAACTTACTGATAGACATAAGAGTATTCAAATTGCATAATTATCTTTGGTGAAGACTCTGCGAAAGTTTCGAGTCTTTCAAACCTTTAGGTATTGATGAAGCTTTGACTAGAATGAGTTTCTCTCCCTTCGAATGTGAAATTATGTTTCAAGACTTATCGACCATATGGATTGAGCTTGTTGACCACTTCACCTAACTCTAAAACTATCATCAGGCCTTGTATATTAACGTCCGGTGAAACGTAAACACTCATTCACTAACTTCACGTGGATCTTGCAAACTTGGCTCACTAGTAGCATAGGCAAGATGTCCATTTGCCAACCAAACGGAGCTGTTAACTGTTTGACGGTTTGGTTCGTTAAAATATGATAATTGAAAGAATTTCCCGAATTCCGAGGAACAATCGAGTAAACAATGTTGAAGTTAGTCATATCATAATAGGAGAAAATTGCAAACGGATTGTTAGGACAGTGAATCACCACCAATCAAGTTATCAAGACAAAATTCAAACCATCAACTACCTCGATGTGAAATAATGGCTGGTGAACGAGCAAGTTGTGAGAAACGCAGTGGTGGCAAAACCCCACGAAGTCACTGGCTGCCGATATGATTCATGTTGGTAGGTAAAGGCGACCTAGTTGGGGACAGTTCAATAACGGCGATAAATAACCTAGAGCAGTCAGTGACAACATGGAATCGGTCATAGTGGCACAGATACATTGATTATTTTCATGTTCACCATTCAGCATTTCTTCATATATGACTCAATATTACACTGTCGAACTAGTCTCAGTGTTTATTATTTCTCACTTTATTTTCACGCCTTTAACTCGCCTTCTTTGGGATTACATCTTGCACTGATATAAAAAACATACTCCGAAATTAAAATACACTTTGACTTACACGGATTGATGAGCGGTAGATATCAAGCTGTCACGAGTGCAAAAGTGGATAAATAAATAACGCGATCGTGTGTAAACCGGTGGTGTGCAAGGAAAAAAATTAATTCACATGATATGGTTCGGAAATCAAGGAATCCGCAGAGAATCAATTAAATTTTCGGTCAAAAGAGTATATAAGCTTTAAGTAGGTTGAACAATTTCAACAACTAAACGTTAACAGTAAATATCAGAATTATATTGTCAAACGATTTCTTTCACTCCAATTAATACTAATCACACGTTTATCAGGTCACAATACCATCTAAAACAAAATCAAAATGCTTTATTCAATAGTTAAAAATGTAGGTCATAGTTAAGGTGATTATGGTTTCAATTCCAAATTTTAAACACTGTATTTAACTCCCATTAATTTAACTGCAATCACACACAGTTCCTTCAAAAACCTTAATCCAAATTGAGTCAGAGCACATGACTTAAGGATGTTGTGATTTATCTTGTGATCTCCTTTTTGAGTGCATTCAAATTGTTAGACGAATACTAATAAATCAAACGCCATGGGATTATTGAGTCTTTTTTCACATTCCTAATAATACTATATTTCTCATAGGCGATTCGTTCGTTCATCACATGCTCTATTTGTTGTCCACCTATGAGCTCAAATTACTGTCTAATTGAATAAAATAAGATGATGTACAAAGTTAACTAACGAGTTGGCGTATCGCCAACCCCAAATACTCATCTATTCGTTTTATAACCATAGTTTATCTAAGAAAAAGGATCGCTCCGTCATACTATATGGATGCGAACCATGGCCCGTGAGAGTTGAGAACATTCGTAGGTTGCTTATCTTCGATCATAGGTGTCTCCGAAGAATTGCTCGTATGTCCTGATACAACCGAGTAAGCAATAATTTCGTTAGAAAACGAGTGTAAGGTAAGAATGGCAGATCAATTGATGAAGTAATAAAACTCACTCAGTTGAAGTTGGTTAGGACAAGTCTTCCGAATGCACAACCACCCACTGCCTTGACGAGCTATTTTGCGGTGTAAGAGTAAGTTGCAAGAAAACATATCTTCGAACCCTAATCTTCTCCATTACTGCTAATACTTCTACTATCGCTACAACGATTGGAATTTAACTGACAGTTTCGTCTTTGTGCTAATGCGGTATGGTAACCTGAACTGACCTACGTACGTACGAAGTTCTACGTTGTAACTGACTGACTGCTTTCAGTTTTTCGTAAATTTTTACTTGGGAAGCGGTTTTCTGACCAAGGCTGTATGAAGTTTTCAAAATTTTACCAACGCACAAGAGTCAGCCGATAAAATATGGGATATTATCAAGCATATGAGTTTATTCTCTAATCTATCCCTTAGAGTTGTTTACATGACACTATCCTGCTGTTTTGTGATGCAATTACAGAAGGTGTTCTCTCACATACTCTCTGGTATTTCGTTTGATAGATAATGGAGTTTTACTTTGTAACCGACTGACCTACCGAATAAGGATCTATGAACTAGTACTCCTACTAGTATCTCGTACTTTGACATTTCATAAATCAATTTATAGACATGTTTAGTCGTAGGAATATTCACCAAGACTAGTATGCAACGTATATATATATATAAATATATATATATATTCCCTGAATGACATGGCTCATTCTTTGTGTCCTCTCAAATCCTAACATTCAGAGTTCCTCATCACTTTATCTTTTTATTTTTCAGTTTATTTCACTAGATTCTACTTCTGAATTTCTTCGAACCCTAATCGTTCCGATTACTGCTAATACTTTGAAATTTGTTTCACCGAATTATACTTTTTGAATAATATCTTCAAGCCCTAATATTCTCCATTGCTGCTTACATTTCTACTATATCTATTACTATAGGTTTTGAATTGACAATTACATCTCTTTAGTTTGAAGGGACTATATATTCATTTTTCACCAACCAACTCGGTAAATGGCTTAATGAGGAACTCCACACTCGAAATGTGTTAGACATTTGACTTTTACTATGTCTCCAAAAGCTCCTAAGTTTAGCATGCTAGACAAATATGTGACGCTCGGTGAGTTTGGCTCTAGCTTGAAGTATAGATATTTATGTTAGATCTGAGACGAAAATCACCACACTTCTGAGCACTACCATTGAAAGAACATGCAAAGTGAAACAGTTCAAAGTCATTCAGCTATTTTTAGGCGATTCCTTACATCATCCCAATTTTCTGCGAAATCGAGTTCCAATAATGTTTGTGAACGAAAATTGTGAGTAATCTTTGATGAAAAGAGAGATGCACAACCTTTTTGCCGCTAAAACCAGTCTTAAAAACGAATGATAGTCTAAATTATCAAGACAAAAAGCATTACAATGCGTGAATACTTAACAGATACTAGTAAAATATGACTAGAATACACTAGTTAGGCTTCGAAAATTAGTTCAATTTATGAAGATTCACGGACTAAAGCTACAACAATGAAATCGGACGGTTTGATGATAAAAACGAATTACAAATGTAAAGCTCACAAAATTGTGAAATGCTGAGACACTCAATCCCAGCAAATTATCCCCCAAAACCGAATCTTTGCCGTCACATTAATTAGTAAAATGGTGGAATAAAACAAAAAAGTAAACAATCTAGGGTATTCAGTGGTAGGACTTAAAATAATTTAGGTCATAGTTATCACGATGATTCAGAGCGCTTTGGCAGGATTATTTCGTTTCAGAAATATCAATAAGCAGTTGTGAAATAATATCCACTATCTCCAATATCCAATATCTTTTTCACGAGCTAGTGTAAACCAATTCGATTTCTTCGCGCTCGATTCTTGTTCTTTCGGTATGGTTCCAGGTGTTCGGTAATGTCCAATGGATGGAGGTCTAGCCACTCGACTGTCTATTTCTAGTCAGTTGGCAGTTGGTTGTGAGTTTGTATGTCTCGGGATTTGAATGAAAACGTTTGTTTCGGGGCAGTAGGGTTTCTGGATACCAGTAGCTATCACATTACCATACCGGAGATCAGTCAGTTGCAATGTGGAGAGTAATAAGGATAATAAGGATAAAATTCTAATGCTAATATGAATAAAATTTCAGAACTGAGTAATATATAGAGATATTTAGTTTGTTAATTGGTAGTGAAGATTGTGAGAGAGGACCGTAGTGTAAGAAAGGGAGAGGAAACAGAGATAATAGGCGCTATAGAGTGATTGGGTGATCTGGGGAGATGGAAATGGCAACATCTAGCAGGTCTCAAGATATGCATCATGAACAGCTTGTCCAAGAGGGAGATGATAGTCCGTATATGAGTACGTGATTATCAAGTCTCTTCTTAAAGTAGTCCACTGAGGGGGCTGTAGTCACCTCGGCTGGGAGAGCATTCCAAGTTGCGACGACTCGCAATGAGAAAAAGTGTGCACGAATCTGAGTATTCGCTCTTTGATGTGCAATTTTTCGAGGATTGCCTCGAGGGGAGTGGTGGTGATGCATCGGTACGATGCTCGCGTTGGGATGTTTTGGCGTGCTCAATACGTTGTGCGCCTTAATCAGATCACTTCTGATACTTCGTAAGTTTTTTTCAACACTGTCTTCCATTTAAGATAACAACTAGAATGTTTCCAGACATGCATAGGGCACATCTGGCCCACGAAGGAAATGAAAATCCGAAATTATAACAGATGCTGATTATTTTACAACATCCAGTAGTCCCGTAGGTATATTTGCTTGCTCTGAGTATTCTTTGTCACCTGTTTGGTCGGTTTCATGCTGTGTAAATTTAATTTAATTTGGAGGCTCACTTTTTTTCTCAATCATTCTGCACTACGGGAAACATCAGGACCACGAATAGTAGTGTCTCAGAATGAACCCATAGTATTTTAATGGTAATGAAGTGTTAGGGAGACATCGATCCCTTGCACTGCAGGAGTTATTGTAATGTGGGGCTGTCATTGATGACGATCAGTGGGATAAATTCGCGCAGTGCTCGGGAAAATCAGTACCCCGGTCAATCGATTTCCTTCAGTTCGACGGTCAGAATATCGCCAAATAGAAATCTCATCTGTTCGGCGTAACCCCTAGACTGTGCAAATATTGGCGGAGAAAACCTACTAACATCTCGCAGACCCTCGGTTATGCCTTATTCGAGCCAGACAGGGCAAACCGTGGTCGGTAAGAGCAAATTCCAAGATATTAAAAGCCACTCGAGAGCAGACTTCACAGGTTGCCCGAGCCATTAGTGGTAGCTAGGATGAACCCCAAGCATATGACGTGCGACATAAGTACTAAGGGCCAGAACGAAACGTTGACTGAAGTGATATTGCAACAGCCACTCCTTGAGTTTGATATAATACTCTCAGCAGAAGGTTACAACACTCCATCTCTAAATCTTAGTCTTCCGAGTACAACCCCCTATAGTTGATTCCAAAGCAGATTTCGCACTGCTATTTAAATTTGTGGACAGATTGAGCATGTGTGTAGAATTCTGAGGTCTGGATTTAGGAACAACCGTTCAGAAAGTTTAGATACGCGTCTCGCCGAGTTGAGATCCGAATAAGGTGATCTGGGTAAGTAACGGTTCTATTGTTAATCATACATCATTATCTAAACAATATTACCACTGTTTTTCCTACAATCAAAACACAGAGTGTTTCCAATTCTGGAAATGGAATTGAACAGATCACCAAAATGTAGAACTGAAATAATGAATAAGGACTTACTACAAATGTATATATGGAGGGATTTTCCCAAACAAAGCTTTTCAAAATGGGTCCCACACGAGTCCGCAAAATCCCTCCATCAACTATTATGGGTTGTACTCGGAAGACTAAGATTTAGAGATGGAGTGTTATAACCTTCTGCCTTTGCCTTGGATACTCTTCGGAGTAATTGTGACCTGGAAAGTGCATCAACTCCAGGTATTGCTTTGTATTTCCATCTTTTAATATAATATAGACCGTTTTCTCCTAGAATTGTTGTGTTTTTAATATTGGACCGGGAGATACGCGTTCAGACTGCACTTATTGGAAACCATTTGAACTGCTACGGTACAAATCCAATTATAATGCCAAAGTTCGAAGTTACCTGTGACCATTTCAGACGAAGCTAGCCGCCGAAATAGAGGCAAACCCGAAACATCTGTTTAGGTTCATGTTCAAAAGAAAACCTACTAATCAAGAGTTTTGTTCTCTAAAAGGACCCAATGGGGAAGACCTCACCAACCTAGAGATGGGCGAGATCTTCAACACCAACTTTTATGATCAGTTACACCAGGCGCCCACATGTTCAGAGTAATACGCAGACCCGTTGCCAGCTGACGGCGTAGGGAACATCTGTATCACTCCTGACTTAGTACTAAGGAAACTAAAATCCTTACCCCCAGGTAATTTATCAGGTTGTGACAAAATTCGCCCCATAGTCTTGCAACAATGTGCAGAAGTCCTCTGTTCAGGAATTCACTGGAATCACACCAATTCCCAGCTGAATGGAAACAAGCTACTCTCTCTCCAATCTTTAAAGGAGGAGATAAAAAGTACCCAGTCTGTTACAGACCAGTCGCATTACTACCAATATTACCAAACGTTATGGAAGGGCTAGTGGACGAACAAATGAAAGAGTACATGGATAAGAATAAAATACTCCATTAAGCTCAACACTGATTTCGGAGAGGCAGGTCGTGTGCATCTAATCTTCTCATCGCATGGAACGTTTGGACATCCTGTTTAGAACGTAAAATACCGGTGCACGTAATAGTTCTCGATTTTGCAAAAGCCTTTTCACAGAATCCCACGCACGCCTAATCGAAAATGTTGTGGAAATGGGCTTAACTGACCCAATCCTGTCTTGGCTCAGAAACTACCTTGAATAGAAAGTTTCAAACCAAGGTAAACAGAGTGCACGCGAGCTGGCGAGTATCCACATCGTGAGTTCACACAGGGGACCATCCTAGATCCGCTTCTCTTCCTGATATCTGTTACCGACCTGTTAGGCTTAGTTAACTCACTGGCATCGATCTAAGCAGACGATGCGAACATATGGAGGTCCACTAGAAGCGAAGAGGATTCGAGTGAGCTTCAAAGGACCTTAAATCTATTGAGAAATGGGCAGTGAAAAACGGCGTAAAACTCAACCAACTGAAGCGAAACGTCATGGATCTCCTGCTTCACATGAAGCAAACGATCTATACCCTAAATGAAAGTCTGCTCCTTAATGTCTCCTAAGAGCGCGATCTCGGTTTATTAGCCACAGAAAGCCTCAAAACGAGCCCGAATTGTGTAGGGGATGCAGCCAAAGTAAATGCGACTCTTCACTTTATGCGAAGACAACTCGGTGCTTTTCACTCCGCGATTATTTCCTACACTATTAAACAGGTATGCGAGCCCTCACCTGGCGATTCTCAACGTCATCAAACCCTCAGCTTAAAAGAGACGTAAATCTGTTGGATCGAGTGCGGAGACGAGGAACGAAATGGGTGATAGGGTTGAAAAATAAGCCTTACCAAGAAAGACTCCAGCGCTTGGGATTATTTCTACTGGGCTACAGGAGAATCAGAGGTGAACTGATTATGGCGTACAACGTATTGAGCACGCCAAAACATCCCAACGCGAGCATCGTACCGATGCATCACCACCACTCCCCTCGAGGCGATCCTCGTAAAATTGCACATCAAAGAGCGAATACTCAGATTCGTGCACACTTTTTCTCATTGCGAGTCGTCGCAACTTGGAATGCTCTCCCAGCCGAGGTGACTACAGCCCCCTCAGTGGACTGCTTTAAGAAGAGACTTGATAATCACGTACTCATATCGGACTATCATCTCCCTCTTGGACAAGCTGTTCATGATGCATATCTTGAGACCTGCTAGATGTTGCCATTGCCATCTCCCCAGATCACCCAATCACTCTAAAGCGCCTATTATCCCTGTTTCCTCTCCCTTGCTTACACTACGGTCCTCTCTCACAATCTTCACTACCAATTAACAAACTAAATATCTCCATATATTACTCAGTTCTGAAATTTTATTCATATTAGCATTAGAATTTTATCCTTATTATCCTTATTACTCTCCACATTGCAACTGACTGATCTCCGGTATGGTGATGTGATAGCTACTGGTATCCAGAAACCCTACTGCCCCGAAACAAACGTTTTCATTCAAATCCCGAGACATACAAACTCACAACCAACTGCCAACTGACTAGAACTAGACAGTCGAGTGGCTAGACCTCCATCCATTGGACATTACCGAACACCTGGAACCATACCGAAAGAACAAGAATCGAGCGCGAAGAAATCAAATCGGTTTACACTAGCTCGTGAAAAAGACATTGGACATTGGATATTGAATACTGGTTAGAGAAAAAGAAATTTGATATTAGAGATAGTGGATATTATTTCACAACTACTTATTGATATTTCTGAAACGAAATAATTCTGCCAAAGCGCTCTGAATCGTCGTGATAACTTTGACCTAAATTATTTTAAGTCCTACCACTGAATACCCTAGATTGTTTACTTTTTTGTTTTATTCCACCATTTTACTAATTAATGTGACGGCAAAGATTCGGTTTGGGGGGATAATTTGCTGGGATTGAGTGTCTCAGCATTTCACAATTTTGTGAGCTTTACATTTGTAATTCGTTTTTATCATCAAACCGTCCCATTTCATTGTTGTAGCTTTAGTCCGTGAATCTTCATAAATTGAACTAATTTTCGAAGCCTAACTAGTGTATTCTAGTCATATTTTACTAGTATCTGTTAAGTATTCACAGATTGTAATGCTTGTTGTCTTGATAATGTAGATGATCATTCGTTTTTAAGACTGGTTTTAGCGGCAAAAAGGTTGTGCATCTCGCTTTTCATCAAAGATTACTCACCATTTTCGTTCACAAACATTGTTCGAACTCGATTTCGCAGAAAATTGGGATGATGTAAGGAATCGCCTAAAAATAGCTGAATGGCTTTGAACTGTTTCACTTTGCATGTTCTGTCAATGGTAGTACTCAGAAGTGTGGTGTTTTTCGTCTCAGATCTAACATAAATATATATACTTCAAGCTAGAGCCAAACCGAGCGTCACATATTTGTCTGGCATGCTAAACTTAGGAGCTTTTGGAGACATAGTAAAAATCAAATGTCTAACATATTTCGAGTGTGGAGTTCCTCATTAAGCCATTTACTGAGTTGGTTGGTGAAAAATGAACATATAGTCCCTTCAAACTAACTTAACTAGCATCCTTCTAGCTCTTTGTTGAATTATATATATATATATATATATATATATATATATATATATATACGTTACATACTAGTCTTGGTGAATATTCCTACGACTAAACATGTCTATAAATTGATTTATGAAATGTCAAAATACGAGATACTAGTAGGAGTACTAATCCATAGATCCTTATTCGGTAGGTCAGTCGGTTACAACGTAAAACTTCATTATCTATCAAACGAAATACCAGAGAGTGTGTGAGAGAACACTTTCTGTAATTGCATCACAAAACAGCAGGATAGTGTCATGTAAACAACTCTAAGGGATAGATTAGAGAATAAACTCATATGCTTGATAATATCCCATATTTTATCGGGTGACTCTCGTGTGTTGATGAAATTTTAAAAACCTCGTACAGCCTTGGTCAGAAAACCGCTTCCCAAGCAAAAATTTACGAAAAACTGAAAGCAGTCAGTCAGTTACAACGTAGAACTTCGTACGTACGTACGTAGGTCAGTTCAGGTTACCATACCGCATTAGCACAAAGACGAAACTGTCAGTTAAATTCCAATCGTTGTAGCGATAGTAGAAGTAATAGCAGTAATGGAGAAGATTGTGGTTCGAAGATATGATTCGAGATGTACAATTCAGTGAGATGAATTTAGAAAGAAAAAGATGGAGATGATGAGGAATTCAGGATGTTGGAATTTGAGAGAACACAAAGAATAAATGCACTTGAGTCATTGCAAACGATTTTGAGCCATGTCGTTCAAGGTGTCTAACTATTAGTGCCACTTCTTGGTTTTCATATACATCAATCGAATTTGATGGCTGCATTAAAAGACGATTGCGTAGATTATTGATTGATAGTTATCCTCTTGTTCATTTGTTCACCTAAAAATTTTTGTAATCTTATTAATTCATTGGACCTAAAAATTATTACTGTTCTGCTTTGTATCAGTGAATCTGACAGATGACATTTTAGTACTTATTTTGTTTTTCGGTATTGTTATCTATCTGGTGTGTCGTTTTGTGTTCGTCTTTTCTGTATTTCTTGAATTCGTTACAATCATTGATACAGTGCTTCTTTCCTGAGCTCAACTTTTTAATGCTTATCATCTTTCTCTGAACTTACCAGGTAAAGCTTTCTAACAGATGTCAGTCTAGAAGTTAATAAGTGTTTCACATTGTGAATGGCTAACTCGTTGAGTTTGACTTATCCTACTTGCTTAAGCTCTGATGTTAATTTACGATTATCACACCTGAGTTTCGACTTTAATGATGGTAAAATCTTCTAATGAAATGGTTAGGAGGTAAATATTTCTATATGTTCCTACTGTATCACTTAACCATACAGCACATAAACTGTTATCACAGTTCCTATTCCTATATTCTACCTCATTAGCATACTACTGTATTTTAGTTTTAGTTTATTCGTGTGATAAACAACCATTTAATCAAGAACTATCAAAATCAATTTTCAAGGTGATTTTAGTTGATCAAATTACCCCCCTTTACTTAAGCTTTATCAATTATCTTTTAGCAAAAACACTTAGTCATTAATTTTGTGATGTTTTTTTAAACAAATTTCATCAGCAAATTAATTTATTTGCACGTCATTATTATGTACATAAAAACTTGTACATAAACCTGTGTGCATTTGCAACTGTAGTTGTGAAATTTAATTTACGAAAAAGCAATCGATCACATGTTTTAGTCTATGAAATAAATTGATTGATTTTGATGAATTGCACTTATTTACGTATAGTGAATAAGAATGGTAATGGTTTTACGGGGGCATCTTACCCATTATGTTTTGCATAGAATGATTAATTTCGATTTTTTTTTATCCATTTAACAGGTAAACCAGATGAGTCATATTTTAGTGTTTATTGATATATTTACACCAAAAACCGGTAATTTAAATCATGTCAAGAAGGAATTCTGGTAGTCTGAGTAGAAATGAAGGATCATACAGTGGGTTAAGGTAGGTAGTTGATTTTTGTAACTTAATCATTTTATTTTATTTCAGGAATACTTCACGTCGTAATATGTTGAAGTAATAATTAAAATTAGTTAAAATTTTCAATGAAAATGTTTGTCTGACAATTTTTTTAGGCCTTTAAATTCAATGATTGATGGTTCATTATCATTTTTTGGTTTTGATTCACGTGAAACTACCATTGAAGATTGGAATGAACGACGGTTGCGTTATGTAATAAAACGTTATGGAAGCATTAAAGGAGATCGTTTAAATGTTGTAAGTTATTCATGATTTATTGAAATCACCATATGTCTAGAGGGTATAGTTCATAATTATTAATTAGATATTGTCGTTTTACCTTATAGCACATTCAAAATGTATATCACTGATACATTGCCTAATAATTAGGTCTGATATTCGGGTCTTAACCAATTGGAGAGTGATTAGTCTGCAAGCTGATTGTCTTCAATCGCTTACCGACATGTTATTATGTGGTTGTGTGTGTTAATATTTTGTTTAAAAGCAAGCCTGCTTTGCCGCTCTTAATTTGTCTGATGGCCATACTGATCTCTTCAATTGTTGGTAGGCCAAAATCGATTGAGAATCCGCGGATGCTGCTTCGATGTTGGTTGGGTTCAGTGGAGCTGGTCGATTCAACAGTTCATTCGTGTGCTGTACCCACTTGTTTCGCTATTCTTCAGTGTTGCTGAATACACTGCCTTCCTTGTTTTTCACTGGTCGTTCTGGTTTACGATAGTTTCCAGCAAAATTCTTTGTTGTATCGTACAATTGTCTCATGTTTACTTCTCGTTCAGCCTTTTCCGCCGTCATTGCTAGATTTTCCACATATTCTCGTTTATTGGCTCTGATACTTCTCTTCACTTGCTTGTTTGCTTCCGTGTATTCAGCTTGTAACTTGGCTTTCTCTGCTCTTGTTCGGTTGATGTTGATTGCTGCCTTCCTGTCGCTCCTTTCTTGAACCTTATCCAGTGTATCAATAGTGATCCATTCCTTGTAGCTGAGAACATCAGCACATGCTGACGTGATCGTTCTTTGGTCCCTTTCCAGTTGTGCCCCATGTATGTTTCTTTTCCATTAAGTAGATCGCGCGAAGCCTGGAACCTATTGCTGTGGGCGATCGTGAATATGTTGAGCTTTCCAGCATCCCAAAAAAAGACCGTATGACACTTTTGTAGTGTTATTCGCCCCGTTGTCCAGTGCTTGATGATCCTGGGTCTATCATATTTTCATCTAATAAGTGCTTTTTGTGTCTGCTTGGTCTGCATCAGTGCATCTCCTTGTGTATGTGTAGCATTTTCTTCATGATCAGAGTATAACAGCAGCTCTCTGGAAGCTAGTTTCAGTTGTCCAATCTGCCTTCAATGTGTTTCACTGATTCCAAGCACCTCCAGGTTGTATCTTTTCATTTCTGCAGTAATTTGGAACGACCTTGCTGTCTCCCACATTGTTCGAACATTCCATATACCCACATTAATGGTTTCTCTGGCCATCAGAAAAGATACATCTGCGTCGTGACTTCTGAAGGAACTCGGCTTTCATCATGAGATGTCATAACTCTTCTGAATGAAGTTTTGGATTGATGGTCACCGGTCTTTGTTCATCTTCGGGCAACGTAGTACTAGGCTATCTTTTGAGAGTAGCAAGTCTCTCAACCCCGTTACCTATTGGCATTACTCATTGGTTAATCGTAAAGACATCGCATATTCATGAACAGATTAGATAGTCTGAAAATTGATTTCACAATCTAGACCACAAGTCAATAACTGCATAGAATCGTTACAAAGTCGTAATCATCATCACCTTCGAAATCTTCACTTTGATGCATTATGTTGATTGAAAGTTTGATTTTTTGTTACGATTTATTCAAACATACTGTCAAAATCAATGACCAATTGAGGCTGCTCGTTAATGTTCACTTCTTCAACCAATTTTTTTTTCTTTTTCAAAGTACTGATTTGATGTGTGCTATTTCATTTTCATTTTTCTAATAGTTGACCACCTCTCCAACTTTATGTGATACATCAAGATCGTCTTTAAGACATCGGGTAAGTAAGTCATCAACTCGCTGCTAACTTGTTGTAATTTAATGAAATGTCCGGATGGTTGTTAACTTTGTCATTTCCATTTTAAAATTTCAGCTAGGCTCAAGTTCACATGCTGAACCAATGAAAGTTATCAATAGACGTCAAGTACGTTATTATTATTATTATTATCACATTCAAGATTATGGTGACTATGTGCTTTTTGTGTCATTTCTCTAACAGTTATGAATTATTTTTGAAATGTTGTTACTTTGAAAGAATTAACGAATTCATTTCTCTGTTTTGAAATCTGATTAAAAATGACAATAATAAAATAATTTAACATTTAACAACTGTTTAAAAAAACAAGGTCAAATATTCTACGCTGAAATGTGAGTACATAGTAGTTAAGAAGTATAGAATGTCACATTGTTTAACTGCATTGCGGGGTTGTTGTGAAGATTGTTAAGTTTTATTTGTAACCATGAATCGATCAATGTTAGACCACCATTAGAAACCTGGAAGCACTGGACGGTATGGGACTCATCAGCAGTGCACATCCACGACTCCTGCACCCCGCAGGATTTGAAACGGCCGTCCAGTGCTTCCAGGTTTCTAATGGTTGTCTAACATTGATCGATTCATGGTTACAAATAAAACATTGTTTAACTGTTTAATATAACAAAACACGTAAAAAATATTGCTGAAAGATACAACTCATGAAAATAATCAGGTTCAGTGGTTAGGGAAGCGATGTTCACTGATGTTTACTTGTTTATTTATTATTGCAAATCGATAGGCGTTGGAAAACGGACTTGTCCAAGAGTGGATTTCATTGATGTGGGAACAATGTTTCGATTTATATTCAATTCAAGATTGTTAGATGTTTTACAATGCTTGACATTAGTGGGTTTTATCATAGATACATGAATCGACTTTTTCACAATACTTATTCATCTTATAATTGTGTGGAAATCAGAGATTACATTTTGCCACAGATTTCCAAACAGATCCGGTTTATCGAATATGTGGAAAAAAGCGTATTGGAGTTTTGAATATTGTTTACTCAAACTTACTTACTTACTTACTCACGCCTGTTACCCCCAATGGAGCATAGGCCGCCCACCAGTTTTCTCCAACCAACTCTGTCCTGGGCTTCCTTCTCCAGTTCTGTCCAATGTTTGTTCATTCCTCTCATATCTTTCTCTGTTTCTCGACGTAATGTGTTCATTGGCCTTCCTCTTTTCCTTTTGCCTTGAGGGTTCTATGTGAGGGCTTGTCTCGTGACGCAGTTAGGTGCTTTCCGCAATGTGTGTCCTATCCACTTCCACCGCTTCTTCCTGATTTCCTCCTCCACTGGAATCTGGTTTGTTTTCTCCCACAGTACGTTGTTGCTGATAGTGTCTGGCCAACGAATCCGAAGTATTTTGCGTAGACGATTGTTAATAAAAAATGATTGTGTCTTCTGGATGATCGCTTTGGTAGTTCTCCAAGTTTCCACTCCATACAGTAGAACTGTTTTGACATTTGTATTGAATATCCTGATTTTGGTTTTGGTTGAAAGTTGTTTGGAGTTCCAGATATTTTTCAACTGCAGAAATGCAGCCTTTACTTTGCCAATCCGCGCCCTCACATCTGCATCGGATCTACCTTGATTGTCGATGATGCTGCCCAGATACTCAAACTACTTTTCATTAAAATACTACTCTCATCTTGAATTAAATATCATTTACAATATTAGACTAATTATTATTTTACTTTTCAAAATTTATGATTTCTTGTCAAATCTCTTCTCAATGTTAATCGAAAGATTTTAGCAAGCTTAAGTTTGGCTTAAGTTTGAATGTAAGGTTTTCTTTTAATAAATGAAATGACATCTTTATACAACTGATTTGTATTTTAGGTTTCTTTTGCTAATTCTTCTACTGTATCACCGGTTGGCGCACAACGACCAATGTATTTACGTGAAGTAGGCCATTTATTGTAACATTTTAAATGTTCATAATAATATTTATAGCAAATATTTGATTGAAATAAATGTGATTTTGTAGGGCAATACACATGAAATGGTGATTAACATTTTAGAAACTAGCTGAGTTCCTATTCTTTTATTGGATAAGTAGAAATAGCATAATGTGTATAGTTAATGAGTTATGATTTGTTTCTTCATCGTTTGAAGTGAGGGAGAGAGAGAGTAGTTTTGTGGTGTGTGCTACTTATACGAACGATATAAGTAGTATAAGAAGGGACGTGAAAGAAGAAGTCTCACGGTCAGAAGAGGAAAACGAAAAAGCAAATGGAGCAAAAGCAAGAAGTAAATGGAGTAGTACCAACAGGAAGTAAAGGAAGCAACAACAAGAATGGAAGAAGGATGGAGCGTTGGAAGTCACGACTCAAAGGTGGTGTGCAAATAGAGTGTTCAATGTAATGTTTTCGTTTTTAATTGACTAAGAGTGTAAATTTGCATTACAGAATTTTCCCTCGCCTGCCTCAGTCTTCTCAATTTGAGTGTCTTATTTATATGCATAACCCTATAGCAGTCGTAACATGCAGACGAGTCAAATGTACATCGACTGCCAAAAAGAAATTCATACACTTAGCTTTAAGCTATACGATTTGAGTAAAAAGAATCCAGATGCTTAAACTGACATAGTAAGTGTTTGGTATGAATCTATGATTATGACGTCTATTGGTTAAAAGCTAAATTCTCTAATCACTAATCCACTGTCTATATGAGTAACTGGACATTCTCTATTTATTTGTACGTACTGTTTTCTGTTTTAGTTAAGTAATCTAACAACTTTTAGTCTTCCAATTGCACCTATCACAACTCCAACTTATAAACCGCATGCAATGAAAATTATCCTTTCATCTATGTGGAATCATCGTCCATTACAAACACGTAAAAAATTAGACAATAATGAAGTGAGTTATAGAAAATTAAAGTAATTTTTTCCATAGAAATTATCATCAACAACAACAACAAAGAAATTTAATGCTTTACAATCTAACACAATTTTAATTTCAAGTAACATTTAACATAGTTTAGCTAATTTTATTCAAAGCGTTTTTATTTCTTTCTCCAAATCCATGATATCTTCATATTTTGTGTTGTTCTGTTAAATCTTGGTGTGTTTAGATTACCCATCCAAATAGCTAGGTCATTGACTGCAGACTCTCATAAAACTGATGTTTCACTGTCTTCGTCGCTATCATTGATGGGTGCATAGCCTTGGATCGCACGCATGATAATCCTTTCTTTCTTTGTCTTGTAGGATGCTTTTTTGATAATTCTAGATTCATGAGATTCCTTGGAGAGCATCAGTACAACTAATTATGTATGAGAGATTTTCTTCTTCATATCTAGAGTACAACAACATCTTACCTGAAGCTAATCTTTTTTGTCAACTCTTTGTCCAATGAGTTTCACTTTACTCCAAACACTCTTAGGTTGTATCTTTTTCATTTTGGCATCAACTTGAATCGTTCTTCCAGTTTCCCACTTTGTGTGGACATTCCATGAAACCTAGGCTTATTATTGTTCTGGTTTTTAGAATGGATATCTGCACTTGAGATTGGCGTAAAAGGTTCTAGGAAGAGTTGATTAACATATTGATCATATCATACAATATGATTTTGATCAACATCTAGGAGTTTAACCACAATCTGTAATTTTTAAAATCTTTTGTCACAAACAATTAACTGCGTTTTAAATGCAAGTAAGTATTGAATTTCATCTGTGATCGAATTTAAAACTATCAAGTCTCATGAAAAGTATCTAATTTTAAGATTAGTGATTAAGCATCAATTGTTCAATGCTTTTGACTGTAATCAATGCCATGATGTACTAACATAATGGCTAGCTAACTGATCATATCAATGATGACTATCCGACCTATGACATGACCGAACTTCATCAATCATAACTTTTCACATTAGCATTTGAAGAGATTCACCTAGAAGCACACATTATTACATCTGAATCGAAAGATTGTGTAATATTTCTTTTTTAGAGGTAATGAGTGAATGGTTTTCTTTATAAGACTAATATTACATTTGAAATCATCAATCAATCTTTGTTAGAACACCATTAGAAACCTGGAAGCACTGAAAGACGGCCGTCAAGTCCTGGTATGGGACTCATCAGTGGCAGTGCGCATCCACGACTCCACCTCACAGGATTCGAACCCGGGACCTTCGCTATTGTGCGCGAACGCCTAACCATTGGACCACTGGGCTGGCATCCAGCTGTGTTAATGTCTAACTCTGAATGATATAGGGATTTTGCGCGACCTCACCCATTTGTCTTTGGTAGTTACTGCCTACACCCGACAGGGTTGAACTCCATTGGTCACGTCTTCTCAACTAGAACTCCGAGAATTCCCTCACGAAGCTAGTCACTAGTGAGCACTGTTACGATATTTTTGGGGCAGTTTTGGAGGTTTGTGTTTTTTCACATTTGAAATCATCAATCAATCATTGTTAGACCACCATTAGAAATCAGAGTTAGACATTAACACCATTGGATGCCGGTCCAGTGGTCCAATGGTTAGGCGTTCGCGCACAATACCGAAGGTCCCGGGTTCGAATCCTGTGAGGTGCAGGATTCGTGGGTGCGCACTGCTGATGAGTCCCATACCAGGACTTGACGGCCGTCTTTCAGTGCTTCCAGGTTTCTAATGAGGGTGGTCTAACAATGATTGATTGATTGATGATTTCAAATGTGTAAAAAACACAAACCTCCAAAACTCTGCCCCAAAAAAGACTAATATTAATTAAGAGTATTATGGAAAGAAATGAATTGTAGGTGAATATATTCGCCAATTTCCATTTTCTAATGATTTCCATGCTATCAGTATAGAGAGTGTAGATTAGATATTGTGACGGGATCATTTGAATAATGTATTTTAAACAATTTCTCTTTCCTATATAATTAGATAAATGACACTGGATTTGAACGGTTTAATTCAGCTCCAACTGGTAGACTACTGTGTGCATTAGAAACAACAACTGATACACATTTTAATCATGATAAATGGATCGCGTTGAAAGATGTTGTTAAACATGAAGAAACACCATTTCTACTGGAATCATCAACAATCCCAACTTGTAATGAATCGAATATTCATAATAACAATAGTAGTAATAATAATAATGATAAAATTAGTTATGATTTATCAACGGAACAACAAAAATTCTCAAATGACATTGTTGATAGTCATAATGATGATGTGATAATTTTACAAAGTAAACAAGCAAGTTTATTTATTTATCATTATTCAATGACAACTTGTGATAGAATTTTTTTTCTATGAAATTTTGTATAAATCTATGAAGGCAATGCGATGAGTTGATAATCACAGTGAAATTTGCATATTAGAGTTTGATGTTCATTAAGAAATACGAAAACTCCGTCTGGCGACCCTCTAGAGCTACTGTCCGTCCCAAACCAGGATAAAGAAAGAGGGTTGAGCATAAAGTTGACAACCATATCCAGTAGAAAACTAACTCACTAAAAGACGCTAACCAGAAAATATCATTGAAACTACTTAAACTCTGCTCTGATAGTTAGAAGGTCTTCATTCAGAAGAGTTATGACGTCTCATGATGGAAGCCGAGTTCCTTCAGAAGTCACGAGGCCGATGTACATTTTCTGACGGCCAGAGTAACCATTAATGTAGGTATATGGAATGTTCGAACAAAGTAGAAAACAGGAAGGCTGTTGCAAATTACTGGAATCAGTGAAGCAGATCGAACGCATGTTGGACAACTGAAACTAGCTCCAGGAGAGATGCTATTATACTCCGTCCATTTTTGTGTTTTCGCGACAAGAGACGCTTAGTTGGCCTACAGCAAACAAGCACTTGAAGAGGAACATCAGAGCCGACAAACGTAAATATGCAGAAGATCTAGCAATGACGGCGGAAAAGGCTGAACGAGAAGTAAACATCAGATATTTGTTCGATATAACTAAGAATTTTGCTGGAAAGTAAGGCTAAGTAATCTGCAACACTGAAGAATAGCGAAACAAGTGGGTTGAGCACAACATGAATGAACTCTTGAATCGACCAGCTCCACTGAACCCAACCAACATCGAAGCAGCATCCATGGACTTCCCAATCGATGTTAGCATATCAACAATTGAAGAGATCAGTATGGTGATCAGACAAATCAAGAGCGGCAAAGCAGAGGGATTAGACACCATTCCAGCAGAGGCAATCAAAGCAGACGTTGCAGCAACTGCAAAAATACTCCTCATTCTCTTCAACTAGATTTGGAATGAAGAACAAGTACTTACATACTGGAAAGAAGGATATCTGACCAAAATACCAAAGAAAGGCGATCTCAACAAGCGTGAGTACTACACAGACATCACTTCACTATCAGTACCAGCTGAAGTCTTCAACAGAGTGTTGTTAGACAGAATGAAGGACTCTGTATACGACCAACTTTGAGATCAACGGGTTGGATTTCGTAAGGATCGATTGTGTAACGACCAAGTTGTAACATAATGGATGATTGTGGAACAATCAGTCTAATTGAACTGATCACTCTACATCAACTTGATTGACTAAGAGAAAGCATTCGATAGCTTGGACAGGACGACACTCTAGAGTCTTCTTCGATACCATGGCGTCCCTGATGAGATACTCAATATCGTACGGAATTCTTATGATGGATTAAACTGCAGAATCGTGCACGGAGGCCAGTTGACAGACTCGTTCGAGGTGAAGACCGGTGTCAGGCAAGGTTGCCTACTCTTAACAACCTACTGTGGGAGAGAACAAACCAGATTCCAGTGGAGGAGAAAATCGGGAAGAAGCGGTGGAAGTGGATAGGACACACTGCGAAAAGCACCCAACTGCCGTCTCAAGACAAGCCCCCACATGGAACCCTCAAGGTCAAAGGAAAAGAGAGATGCCAAGGAACAGATTACATCGAGGAACGGATACAGACATGAGAAGAATGATCGAAAACCGAACATAACTGGTAAAGGAAGCCCAGGACATAGTCGGTTGGGGAATACTGGTTGGCAGCCTGTGCTCCCCTGGGGGTGATAGGCGTATGTAAGTCAGTAAGGGACCCCTTAACACTGAGAAACTTGGGACGTGATGTTATTAATATCGAAATAATTTTCCAAATATAAAAAATAAGTGACTAGTTGAAGTGTGTTATGCAATCCTAAATATTACTGAGCTTGATAAAATGATGTACTCCTTGATGTAGCTGAGACATTTTTTTCAATAAGTCAGGTTACGGTTATCCGCAACCTTTTCAGATTCTCATCACATCTATCACCCGTCATTTTTCCGATCATGCGATGTGTGATCACTTCATGTTAAAGTTTAATTTTCATATCAAGCAACTGGATTTATCTGCATTTGTCTAGAATGAACAATGTCAGTGATGCATTCATTGCTCAACATGACTTATTAAAATTGTACGTAAAATGTCTTCAAGTTGACAGTAATACGCCTGATCTGCTAGTCGGATGAAAAGAATCAGAATCAGAAGAAACGAAGTTTATTGAATAAGGCAAATCGACACAATGTCTACTCATTCATATATACAGATCTTTTTTCTTAGAAAATTATTCTACCATTAATGTATGTCTCATATCTTACAAATGAAAGCTGTTTTTTGTCTAAGCACATTCACTTCTCATCGCATCGATTTATGATTGTTTCAATGCGTCAAACAACACATGCAGTAAATGGGCTTGAAACAAAACCTAACGTAGATTACAACACTATGATGATTTTCAGTATTCACTTACTAAAAAGGCATGAGAATAGCCAACATTTCTGGGCTTAACCTATTTAGTAAGTATGGGAATGTTGCGGATCAAATACTAGTAGGCTTCTAAAATACTCTATTCTTACTATCCTTGTTTCATACACATAAATTAGGACGAAATAAACTGCTATGCAGTGAACTTATCATTTGGTCACTAAATGGATATCTCGCCTATTCGACAAATGACGCAAGTTGGCAAAAGCCAGTCGATCGTTTGATATCCATGCCGATACTTTTTCACACACCAGGCCGTCTGAAATGATGAAAGTGTGAAGATAAATGGAGTTGTCAACATGCTCAGCAACTTCACTCGCTGTCACTGGTCTAGCTGCCCGACGCAAGCCAATTCTTAAGCAACATTTTGCATGTCAAGGGTGGGTGGGTGAGAATCTCATCCCGAACATGCTTGGATTGTTGTTTAAGGTAGTCAGAAGACTTTACAATTTGTTAGCTTCTTCACCGAACAGAACTATAAAATATCCGTATTCCAAGTCAATAAGTGAATCTATCGGAAAACAATTGGACACCTTAAAATTCAGATCATAAAAGTGTCGCCTCTAAAAGCATGTCAACGGAAAATTTGAATAAGAACGGAGAAAATGGACAGCCCTTACCAACACCACTCGAGGTAATCATTCCGAATGACAGTTCGCCGTAAGCTGTCACTAGACTAGCAGTGTTCGAGTGAAGAGCTTGTATAAGGTTAATGTACCTTTTTGGTACACCTTTCAGTTACAGACACAGTCATAGAACCTCACTATTAACAGAGTCAAACGCCACCTGAAGGTGGAGGAATACAAATGTTGTGGGAAGTCTAAATGTGCTGTCTGTGTTCAAAAACTTGCCGAAGTGTGTTAATATAGGCAAGGGGCGGCTTTCAGAATCACAAAGCGTGAATCGCGACGGTTCTTTATGCTGGTAAGGTGGGTTCCAATGAATGACTGTACTCAGATCTTGTATGCTCGTTTCGTAGATGCAGCACACATCAATGGCACGAAATCCTAAAGTCGTAACTAAGAAGAACACAAGGTCCGAATAATAAAAGCTACAACATCTAGTTTAGAGCACGGTTTCAGCAGACTGGGAATAACATTTCGTGTACTCGAATCATTAGTATAAGCAGCAGGAGGTGATAAAGCTACGCGAGAAAGGTTAGTCGTGGAGACAAGATAGTTATTAAGAGTTAGGAAAGGGACTTGGTTGTGAAAAATTCGGTCTCTTGTGCTGTTACAGGTACAAGAGTGGATGTCACTTCCCGATTTCACGCACTGTGGAAGAGTATTTCTTGATGGACCTGAAAAGGAAATTAGATTAAAGTTGGTCTTAGCGCAGAGCGGAGGGACAACTACTTCAGACCGATCACGCACTTCCTTTATGTGGACGTTTCTGAAGTGTCAGCTCCGCTCTACAAACGGCCCCACTGGCAGAGACGGAAACCCGTTCGATAAGTTTAGGTGTGAGAATTTGAGTTTTGCCTTTTTCTAACCCCTTCCTTGTGAGAAGCGAAAAACACCTTATTGTCTTCACAACCCTCAACAATCAGCAGTACGACTTCACCCTCACACTTTGAGTTGCTGCTTTTAGTCACACTGTTCACTCAACCTGTCTGGAATGATAGGAACCTAAAGGAACAAATCTTCTGGAAAAATAGCTCTTTTGGCTCGTCACGGTAGGCAATCCCGACTGCGACGTCAAGGTTGCAGCTACAGTCGGTATTCTAATCGTCTGGTACAAAATTTTACTTATTAGAAAGTTCGATTACGACAACTATGTTCTTTGTAGTGTGTACTTACCATGTCAAGCCTACGTAGCTACCGTACCAACTAATTAATTTATTTTTCTCAAGACATTATGCACACGTGTTTTGATTATGTCAATTATTCGCTCAGAACCGTAACCGTTTCAATTTGAGGTCGTATGCATATCAATCCTTTATTTTATTCACCACAAATCTATCAAATGGTAGATCGTATGCTTGCCTTCTCCGCTTCGCTTCGCTTCTCTGTCTTCCTTTTTAACCGCCTGTATAAACGATTGTATGAAATAATCTCATCCAACTGAATCCGTATTCGGCTTCTGATTACCACTGTCTCTCAAACGGGCGGTTACCTCAGGTGTAATATGCAGAATTAAAAGGTAGATTTATTTTCATGACATGTTCGATCGAAGCCAAATTCGTAGGTCATCAAGCGTTTTTAGTGCAGAAACAATCAACCTAGTAATTAATATACTTGAAAGTATCTAATTGAATATTGTCTGTTGATGTTTACGATGAGAAACTTCTATATTACGTCATCACTATATCAAGGTCAAGTATAACAAAGTTGGTAAATAACTTGATACACGCTTTTCTACTCATAAGTTCACTTTAAATGTTCAATCTATGGTTTGTTTTATTTACTTCTTTGTATTAATTAGCTCGAGAAACAACTGGTGAAAATCGCCCACGACCAAGTACTACAGTATCACCAACAAATTTTCGCCCTGGTCCAGTAGTAATTCCATCACTTTCAAGGCGTCTAACTGAAAGCTTATTGACTCCAACACGTTGGGCTTCAGCAATTATTTATCCACATAAAGATAATTTTACTGAAGATATTTTTCGTAATAAAACAACTGAATACATAGAGTATAGGTGAGTTCTTGTATCAGTTTTGGTTATAATGTATGTTATGTTATGTTGTTCGTATGAGTACGGTTTAGTTAATAATTCACTCAGTATCATGGATTAGTTGATGAAGTTAAACATTAACACCATTGGATTCCGAGTGAGTGGTCAAGAGAGTAAGCGTTTACACATGAGATTGAAGGCCCCTCATTCGATTCCTGCTTCCGGGAGTGGTGGGTGCGCACTGCTGAAGGAATCCTACACTAGGATGAAACAGCTGTGCTTCCACGTTTCTAGTGATGGTCTAGCTAAGACGAAATAGTAATTACATTCATGAAAGAAATAAAATCTCTACGAATCTTTTTCATAAATATTATTTTTATGTTTGATTTAAATAATCCAGGAAAGTTAAGGACAGTTCATTTAGCAATTAAACAATGAATTAAGCTTTACTACAAAGTAATTTCATCTTTTTTTCGGGCAGAGTTTTTGGAGGTTTGTGTTTTTACACATTTGAAATCATCAATCAATCATTGTTAGACCATCATTAGAAACCTGGAAGTACTGGACGGCCGTTTGGTCCTGGTATGGGACTCATCAGCAGTGCACATCCATGACTCATGCACCTCACAGGATTCGAGCCCTGGACCTTCGGTATTGTGCGGGACCGCCTAACCATTGGACCACTGGACCGGCATCCAACGATGTTAATGTCTAGCTCTGATTGATCTAGGGATTTTGCGGGAGTCGTGGATGCGCACTGCTGATGAGTCCCATACCAGGACGAAACGGCCGTCCAGTGCTTCCAGGATTCTTATGGTGGTCTAACAATGATTGATTGATGATTTCAAATGTGTAATTTCATCTTATTGCATTTTATGTGAGATGAATCTTTTAATTGATATAACAAAGAGTAACAATTCATCATTATTGTAGAATAAATGAACTTGAGGAAATCATTATTTATTGCATAAATCTGCATCAATTATCAAGCGAAAAAAATTTTCTTATTCAGTTTACCAATAGTTTCGAATGCCCAAACATCGACTATTTTGTGATGTACCAGCAGGCTGGAAGAATGCTAGCTGCCGCCAAACTAAAAAAAATGGCACATATCCATGAAGTGACTGACAACTGGACTGAGCCATGTTAGTAGGTGTAGTCTAACTGGTCGGGGTCCGCGAGATGATGGTAACCGATGATGGTTAAAGACTGGCTAATAATTATTTTGCGATGGCGCACATTCATTCATTTTTTGTCTTCTCTCATGACCTCATGAGCTCAGGACATTTTCTTATCTCTTTTTAAATTTATTTCACTGGATTATACTTCTTGTATAATTTCTTCGAACCTTAACCTCTTGCATTATCGCTAATACTACTACTACTACTACTACATCTACTACTATGAGATTTGAATTGACAATTAAATGTCTGTGTGTTAATGTGTTAATGGCAACTTGAACTGATGTACATATGTATGAAATTCTACGTTGTTGTAGCTGGTTGACCGAATAAAAAGTAACCGCTTTATGGTACCTCCAAATCACCTGGCACGACCGAAAGTGAAGAGAGTCTGCCCTTTCTCCAGGTTGAGAGATATGGAGGATCCTTCGGACGGATTTGCAAAAACCAATCCTTCTCCTTTTGACCGACAGTAACTATAGAAGGGCTCAAATTGGAGTTCACTATTCAATAGTCTTTAGTTTATCTCTTTGAAAATCATTTCTCACAAACTACATCATATTCACATTGAAGACATTGAACACAATTGAATAATCTAATTAAATTTGAATAAGCTTTTAGTTATCAATAACAAGGTTTGATATGAGATAATTTCAAATTAACTGAGCATTGGACATATTTGAGAATCAGATAATGATGATATGATAGAAAAGAATTTACATTAAAATTAATTTTTTTTCTGTTACAATTTTCAAACTTCCATTATCATCTATGTATTCAATATTCAATGAATAATTTTGTTTTATTTATTTAACTGAAAAAAAAACCAAACCAAACAAAACAAAACACAACAATACTGTATTCTCAAAATTTAGACCATATTTTACCTATTGGATATCATTTATTCATATAGTGATTTTTATTGCCGGTTCCATTGGTTATGGATTTGCACCGATTGGTTTAGGCATAGCTACACGTTATGTTGGCAAAGTGTTGCTGCCCACATTGACCATTGATCAGGTGTGTTGGATTGAATATGAAAATTTATGGATAGGTCCAAGGCAAACAGATTTAGTTCGATTAGGTGCACGTTTCCCACCATGTATGCGATTTGATCCAGTCTTGTATGATGCAGTAATTAAACGTCAAAAGAAATTTGATCGTGCGTAAGTTGGGTTGGTGTTTCTTTTTGTTGCTACATTTAATAATTGAATAAGTTGATCAATGTTACACCACCATTAGAAACCTGGAAGCACTGGACGGCCATTTCTTCCCGGTATGGGACTCATCAGCAGTGCGCATCCACGACTTCTGCACCCCGCAGGATCCGAACCTGGGACCTTCGGTATTGTGCGCGAACCCCCTAACCGTTAGACCACTGAGCCGATATCTAACGGTTTTAATGTCTAACTTGATCAAATTCACGGAGTTGCGCAACCTCATACCCTGTATACATCCGGACAGGTTTGAACTTCACTGGTCACGACTGCTAATGAGTCCCATACCAGGACGAAACGGCCGTCCAGTGCTTCCAGGTTTCTAATGGTGGTCTAAGATTGATCGATTCATGGTTAAAAATAAAACTTAACAATCTTCACAACTACCCGCAATGAATAAGTTGAGTATTTTTATAGACTGTTCACTATTTTGAGCATGATGATCGTATTAAGTTTAGCAGTAAAGATGATAACACTTATTCTAGTGGTTTATTGGAGCTTTAATCAACACATAGTTGTCAGTTTTGAGCTTGACGTTTTTTTTCAAAAAATATTTTTGCGTACTTGCTTTGCTTACTTACTTCGCTGATCACATGTCAAGCCTATTTTCATTTGATCATAATTACTGAGTCATGATGCCTCATCGTACTGTGTTGGTCCACTAAAACTTGTTTCATTTCACTTTGCTTAACCTCATGTCTGAGTGAACAATAATTTACTTGCTTAGTTACGCCTGTTACCCCCAATGGAGCATAGACCGCCCACCAGTTTTATCCAGCCTACAATGTCCTGGGCTTCCTTTACCAGTTCTGTTCGATTTTCGATCATTCTTCTCATGTCTGTCTCAGTTTCTCGATTTAATCTGTTCCTTTTGCTTTGATCTTGAGGGTTCCATGTGGTGGCTTGTCTTGAGAGGGCAGTTGGGTGCTTTCCACGATGTGTCCTATCCACTTCCACCGCTTCTTCCTGATTTTATCCTCCACTGGAATCTGGTCTGTTGTTGCTGATAGTGTCTGGCCAACGAATCCGAAGTATTTTGCGAAGACAACTGTTAAGGAATACTTGTATGTTCTGGATGATGGCTTTGGTAGTTCTCCAAGTTTCCGCTCCATACAATAGAACTGTCTTGACATTTGTATTGAAAATCCTGATTTCGGTATTGACTGGTATTTGTTTGGAGTTCCAGATGTTGTTCAATTGTAGAAATGCAGCCCTTGCTTTATACCGATCCGCGTCCTCACGTCTGCATCGGATCCACCTTGGTTGTCGATGATGCTGCCAAGATATGTAAAGGTGTTAACGTCCTTCAAAGAATCTCCATCAAGAGTGATTTGGTTGGTGCATGTTATGTTGCATCGGAGAATTTTGCTTTTTCCTTTATGTATATTGAGACCTACTGCTGCAGAGGCAGCTGCTACACTGGACGTCTTTTCTTTCATTTGTTGTTGCGTGTGCGATAGAAGAGCCAAGTCATTTGCGAAGTCCAGATCGTCCAGCAGCATCCTAGCTGTCCATTGAATACTGTGCTTTCAGTGTTAAGCATCTACCACACTGGATAAATCTCTCATGCGGAATTATCAGTGTTCCTTCATATTCATAAAATGGATGATTGATTGATCCTCCAGGATATTGGACTAATTGTTGATATTTTTATGCTAATAGAAAGACAACTTGTTAATTCATCACACTCTTGTTGAATTTAAACCTAATGACTAGGTTGTACTCTGTTTCTAATATCCACCCATGGAAAAAAGACACTTTAGGAAACCATACAAAATCCAATAGAAATATATCACATTCATAGATGAATTGTTTGCATCTAATGAGAATAGAAGTTTCTAAGTTCACATATAATATAGAATTACAGCTATTTTAAGTGTTTGTTTGGTTTTCAACATTTTTTAATCATTGAACTTCTATGAAATGTTAAATTTTTGATACAACTCTTCAGCTATGCTTTATCATAGACTGATTTTCTATGATATTTCTATGATTCACAAAAATGTTTATTGTTGTCGTTGCTGTTAGGATATTTATCCAATATCCCTAAGATAACTGTTTGTAAGTTTGATTCTATTGGTCAATATTATGGTCGTCCTAACTATCAATGTCACATGCTTCAAATGTTGTTTCCTATTCAACCTAACTGTATAAATACGCATTTTCTGTAAGGTTTTATGACCCGGACCCGGACCCTTAGTCCGGGATCCTGATTCCCTTCTGGACTCGGACCTGGTCATTTCTGAATCCTTGTAGAATACAGGTTCTACTTCATATCAAGTCTTCTTCTTTTACTCACTGAGGGTTTGGGAAGCTCGGATTAGAGTAGCCTGTCATATCGCCGGAATCCTCGATCCTCTCTTTCGTTTTCCGACTAAGGCAGATTCGTAATAGTTCAAGCATATCAAGTGACGTGTTTACATGCTATCGTAACAGTTGTTATGGCTAGCCAGGTTTTCCTAGAATAGCATTTCTGTCACTATTGGCAGCTGAGTAATGCGAAAAAACATTCTCTGACAAAATCGTATCATTATAATTATTATTTTTATTATAATGCCCCTGCATAATACAATTGAACTAGTCGCACACACAACCACACACACACACAGAGACTGTCATCAGTGAGAGAGAGGGAGAGAGAGAGACAATGGGAGACAATTTAACAAATTCTCATGTATAAATCATCAATTTGTTATTTTTCTTGGTTTTAATGCAATGGGAAAAAACGCAAATGACATTTCTAACTCATGCAGTCCTCACTAACTCATTCATCAATTGAATTCGAGAGAAATGATTCAATTTTTATTTAAAAAAGAAACTTTTGTTTTGCACAAACAATTAACTTTAACTAATCATATCTATGTATTCATATGTATTCATATTAAGCAGTTCAAATATACAAGCTAGTATCTTGTTACAATGATTCATGCCTCAGTTGAATACTTTCAGTTGAAACTCTTTAATGCCCAACTTTAATTTTTATTCACAGATGAACAAGTTGTATGTTCAATAGCATCATTGTATTTTACATGAACGACATAAATCAGTGGACGACAGCTTTTACACAAAACAATTCCTGTTGAATAACTAGCTGATAGTTTTAAAGTATTGAAGACATATATATATATAGGTAGAGAGGTTCGCTGTTGACTAATTCTATCCTTTTGAGATTTGATTATTCTGTTCGTCAGTCACTTGTATTGATATCTAAGACATTAAGTATTCTAAGATTGTATTGTTAATCATGTACAGGTTTAACAAGTTACAGTGAGTGAGCAAATTACTTATCTAAGTTATATATATATATATATATATATATATATATATATATATAACTTAGATAAATAATAATATGTAAATAGATTGGCCTTGTTTAACTCATTCTACAAAATAAACAGTCAGTTACAACGTAGAACTTCGTACATGAGTACATAAGTTCAGGTTGCCATACCGCATTAGCACCGCGTTAACGCAATTGTCAGTTCAAAGCCGATAGTGGTAGCGATAATAGAAGTATTAGCAGTAATAGAGAAGATTAGGGAGCGAAGATATGATTCGAAAAGTATAATTCAGTGAGATAAATTTAGAAGGTGAAAGTTAGAGATGATGAGGAATTCAGGATGTTAGAATTTGAGAGAATACAAAGAATGGATGCACCTGCGACATTGCAAACGATTTTGAGCCATTTCATTCTAGGTCTCTAACCATTGTTGACTTTCGTCTCGCGGATCCCAACCAGGTGGCCTACATCTACCAACATGACTCAGTCCACTTGTCAATGACTTCATGGATTTCTGTCATGTGTTGGTTTTGGCTGCTCCTAGCTTTCTTCCAACCTACTCCTACACCACAAAACATCACTCGACAAAATAGCTTCCTATTCAATCTTATTTTGTATTTTTTTTTAAAAATCTAGTTCAATTTTTCTAAATGTTGTGAAAATGAACACACTAGTTAAATTGTAGGCAGTATCATAAATGTTTCTCTTCTTATTTAAGACGCTTGTATATGAGTTAATTAGTTTTATTATATTTTATTTTATTTTTTCAGTTCAGGCTGTTGTATTCGTAATGACGGTGGAGGTTGTTATCAAACGCATCGAGCAATCTGTTCACGTACATTAGCTACATGGCTTCATTATGAAATTGACAATAGTAGTAGTAGTAGCACAGTACAAACCACCGAACTATTACCACCAATTCATACACATTTATTGAATAATTCACAATTTGAAAAAAATTTACACAGTTCTAACAACAACAACAATAATAATAATAATAATAATGAACAAAATATTCTACATTCAACACAACTTATTGGTCAAGCTGGACCTGTATGTGGATTGGATCCGGATTTTTGTGCTCGACCACGTTCAATTGGAGCATTTGCTTGGTCAGAGACAGATGTTACTAAATGGCCGGTAAATAAAAACAAAAATTATATTTCTTATTATGTGTCGTTTTATGCTTTAATGCTGGTTTCCCCCCCCACCATTAATTTCTTCGAAATATACTTTCTGTACCTACACCTAATATATGCCAGACGATAATATAAGAAGTAATTGATCTGTTGGTCAACTACTAATAAATTTTTATACACAACTGGCGTTACAGTTAGTTTAATAGCAATAAGTGACATCAAGAAATGTTTATGTGAAATATTGAAGAAAGTGTGTATAAGTTGTGGTGAAACTCCCTATCTGTCTATTGGAATCAAACTAAACAGAAGAATAATTCATTTTAATCTCAGTGATAAACTAAGCAAAAGTCTAATATCTATATTTATATATCTATATTAGTTTAAGCAGTTTTAAGTCTAAAAATGTGTAGTGAACGAGAACACAGGTGGAGCAACCGAATTGTATCTAACGAAAATTACAGAGTTACTCGGTAGAATCGGAAAACCATATCGTAAATCGTTCATTTGCAAAATATCAGTTCATCATATCGAACTAGACTGTTCCTGTTACAAAACATCAATCCATTGTCACTGTTCATGCGTTTCATACAAATTCCATTGTTTTCTAACTCTTCCTTTCTTGATCTTCCCCCATCTTCTGCTGCCAGACATTACGTTTACACTCACGTCATATACTACTTATAAGTAGCTCGCACCACAAATGTAGTTATATATGTATATATAGATGCTTTATTTAAAGTTCAAAGTCACAGGCTAGAATCAATTTGGTTAACACGTTAAACTCCTCAACACATAGGATCATTTTAAATTGTTTAATAAAAATTAAAAAAGTGTTATTATTCATCTTTCAATCTACCACAGAAAATCTATTCGAAGATAATTGATTTTGTATTTAAGGCTATCCGCTAGTAGTTTCGTTTTTTTATTTTCTTTAAAATTCACTAAATCGGAAGCTCTTGTAATGACAGACTGGTTGTTCATAACTATTCTTATTAAATATAAATGAATTTTTTTCTTGATCTTCGACTCATCTCTTCCTATGCTCTTCTCTGTTTTCCACTTCTCTCCTCTCATGCTACTCTGTATGCGCTCTGTTCGGGATGCAAAATGTTGCTTCAAGATTGGGTTGCATCGGTAACTAAACTAGAGACAGGGAGTGAAGTAGTCGAAAGTGTAGACCGCTTCACTTATTTGGAGAGTCTCGTCAGTGCCGATAGCCAGGTGACTGACGAAATCTCAACACGGATACAGAAAGCTCGATTGGCCTTTGCCAACCTGCGTCACTTATGGCAAAGGCGACATATCCGTTTGCTGACTAAAGGACGAGTGTACTGTGCAGCAGTTCGCTCCGTCCCACTTTATGGCTGTGAAACATGGCCATTGAGAGTAGAAGATAGTCGTAGGTTACTGGTTTTCGATCATAGATGTCTCCGAAGCATTGCTCGTGTATCGTGGGACAACCGATTAAGCAATGCTATTATTAGGAAACGGGTGCTAGGTAAAGATGGCAGATCAATAGATGAAGTAATGAGACTTCATCAGTTGAGGTGGTTGAGACATGTGTTATGTACGCCTAACTACCCACTGCCTCGTCTAGCTATATTTCGCGTTGTAGGAATAGATTTGACAAAAGCTAGGTGTGGCGAAACCAAAACATGGCAGAAATCCATGAAGTCACTGACAGGTGAACTGAGTCATGTCGGTTGATGTTGACCACCTGGTCGAGGCCCGTGAGATGAAAGTAATCGATGATTAGAGACCCTGAATTACATGGCTCAGAATCGTTTGCAATGGCGCAGATGCATTCATTCTTTGTGTTCTCTCAAATCCTAAACTTCTTAATTCCTCATCACTTTATCTTTTTGTTTGGAAGTCTATTTCAATAGATTCTTCTTCTTGAATAATATAATACATGAAAAACATTCAATTTGTTCAAATATTCACAGCTATTAAATTTATTTATTTGTTCAATATATATATATATATATATATATATATATATATATACAGCTGAATATTTTATTGAAGAGCACGTTGATCACAGAACTGATTTCCTGTCGATATCCAATATTGATTGATGTAATTCACACAAACTAGTTGAGTGAGTAAATTAAAGCTAAGAAATAGAAATTTTCAAATATTCATAGGAAATTACAATCGACATTTATGAGAAAAATTAAAATCAAAACAAAGTCTTATGTAATAATCTCATCTCATTGAGAAATCCAACCCCTTAGTGTAAAACAACATTCATCACCGTTTCTCCTTTGGATACATAAATTCGGTTTAAAACCTATTTTTTTTCGCCCATTACAACAGCTTCCAATATGGTGTTCATTAGTTTATTGATTATTTTGGAGAGGAAAAAAAAATACATATTACTCAACTCTCAATTATTTATGCACACAATCGTCGAGCAAATGAAATGGAAAATAAACTGCATTGTTGAAAATCTTTCATTATTCATTTAGTTTTGAATGTTAATAGAAATTTTTTGATGTTTAGACAGGTTCATTCATTGATATTTTGTGTGCTATACAAAGTAAGATAAGAAATATTAATTGTGTTAGGATATTCATCAAATATCCTGCGAAGAATTATTTTTGTAAGCGTAAATTCTATTGGTCGATTCCTATTGGTCAATTTGATGGTCGTCCTAGCTATCGATGTCGCATACTTCAATGTTGTTTCTGATTGGTTGTCCTGACTATCATCGTCACAGACGTCGATGCTGTTTCCTATTCAACCTAAATGTAAAAATACGCATTTTCTGTAACATTTTATGACCAGGCCCCGGGTCCCTAGTCCGGGATGCTGGTTCTCTTCTGGACTCGGACCTCACACTCTCTGGATATTTGTAGAATACAAGCTCTACTTCATATCAAGTCTACCTCTTTGACTCGAGGGGGTTTGGGACACTCGGATTAGAGTAGCAAGTCGTGTCGCCGGATCGTCGATCCTCACTCGCTTTTTCCGATTAGGGTAAACTCGTAATAGTGCAAGCATATCGGATTGACATGTTTACGTGCATGCGTAACAAATTGTTCTTGTCTCATATCGTATACACTCACTTCAATTCAAATAATCGCTTTTGCATTGTTCCGAGTATATTATCTAAGAAGCTTAGTTGAGTAGTTATTTTAAATATATTCTACATAATTCTTATAACTCAGTCAGTTATAACTCAATAGTCAATTCAAATCCCATAGTAGTAGATGTAGTAGTGGTGTGGCGCGCGCTACTCACAAGTAGTATATGACGCGAGTGTCAACGTAATGTCTGGCAGCAGAAGATGGGGGAAGATCAAGAAAGGAAGAAGAGTGGGAACACAATGGAATTTGTATGAAACGCATGAACAGTGAAATGAATGAATGAATCTGTGCCATGGCAAAATGATTATTAGCCATGTCATTCAAAGTCTCTAATCACCATCGGTTACCATCATCTCGTGGACCCCGATCAATTAGTCTACACCTACTACTTGTGTGCAAACATATTTCCTATCATTTTTCTACTGACCACTTCATAAACTATAAATATCTAAATAGACACACATTAATTTCTGAAATTGTTTTTTTTTAAGAAATCGGACTCAAAACATGAATAATTAGCTTTTTGAATTGGTGGGTAATGTTTTTATTTTTTTCTCCTTATTCCCATCAGCACCTACATCTCTGTGTACCAAAGAGTTTTTTTTATTGATCTTAATTATTACTAACTGTATATCGTGTTTTTTTCTCTGATTAATATTCATACAACTTATATCAAATAATTTATTCGCTTTAGATTTGTGAATTATCTGATAGTGTGTCAAATATGGGCGGTTATGCTCCGCATATGGAATGTCAAGTCACTGGTCATCCATGTTGTTTAGGTTTAAAAGGTGAATGTATCATGACTACACAGGAACATTGTGATTTTGTACGAGGTTTCTACTATCCAAATGCTGCATTATGTTCACAAGTAAATAAATTCCATTTGATAATCAATAAATAAAAACAATTCTTTTTTTTCAAGAAGTACGATTGTCTCGTTTTATCCCCGCCCCTTGCCCAAAAGAAAATATTGCATTAGGAATAATTTATGATCGTATGAATGAGGTGACCCAGTATTGTAGGTTGATTGACTTTTAGATATGAACACAGTTCAATCCTGGTTCAGTGATTAAGAGATTAGTCGAAACTGAAGGTCTTGGGTTCGATTGCCCCATAGAGCGTCGAGGATGCGCACTGCTGATGAGTGAGTCCCACATTAGGCAAAAACATAATATCTGTTGAGACTGAGTACATTTTCTCTTATCTTCAACGTTAATACAAATTTGCAGAACTTAACAACGTGAATGTTTCGAAGTTGTTAAGCAGTAACTTGAGAATGTTTGAGATTTGTTTTTTTCGTCACTAAGTAGAGAAGAAGAATATTACTTTGGGACTAATCTATGTTAGCACTTATTCTGAATATGGGGATTCAAGTGGCTCTGCACTTTATTTTTCAATGTGGTCATTGAAACCTGGACACAGATTTGAAATGCTCACTCTACAGTTATCGATTTGCACCACCTTTAAGATAGTTGAGATGGAATAGTTTGCTTGTCAATAGGAAATTATTTAAATTTTAAGTTGTGATTCTCTTTGTGTTTGCTTTAAGGCTGTGGGACATGGTTGATGAAGACGAAAAACATGCACAGTTTGTAAGTATTTAATGACAGTTGTCTACAAACTGTTCGTTTGAGAGTGCTGTTTTATTTACAAAATGGACAGTTGATTGATAAAGTCTGTGTGTGTTTATATTGGTTCCGGGTGTTGGCTTGTTTGGCAAATGCGGCCTGACTTATTATTTTTTTCGCGAAATCAAAGTTTGGGGAAAATTAAACATATCCAACCAAAGATATATCACAATTTTAATAAAACCATAGCCTACATATAGATGCAGACATGAAGATGAGTTTGTGATCGTTCTCCATAATTAGTCGATACAATTAAAAATCAACTGCCATAAATTCTGTTACATTCAAACCATATATCTCGTATGCTCCCCAATAAGTTTACTGATAATCTCTTGAAGTAATGGCTCAGTGATCAAGGTCATCCACCTTTTCGCCACACAAATCTTTGATTCAAAACCTCACTCCACCTACTTCAGTCTATGCAGCTGGTGGATAATCTGACTCACCTGTACACTTTAGACTGTAACTCGAAACAAAGTACATAGTCAATAAATAAAATTTTACTTTGCATTCTATCATCTTATTGATTTTTCTATGTTCGAACTTTTCACTTCCACACTTTTGTTGTTGTTGTTCATGTTAAATTCTCTTTTACTCTTTTTTCTATGACCCCTAATAGGTGAATTGTTTAAATCAAATTTGTGGTATGTCACCTTTCATCAATAATGAATATCCAAATCAAATGTATCGAATATTCACTTCATTATTTCTTCATGCTGGGTAAGAGATTTCTATCATTTTGATTGATTGAGTTTTCAAAATTGACAAGAATAAATTTCAATCATAATAATTATCATAAATGCCATTATTTGAATAATTGTCAACATGTTCAGTTAATCTTATCATGTCCTTTTC